TAGTTCTCATGTGTGGATTTCAACTCCCAGAAGTCCTCAGCCAGCATTCTGGCTGGGGAATTCTGGGAGTTGAAGTCCACACATCTTCAAGTTGCCACATTGAGAACTACTGCTCTGGAGGTTATAATCTCATCTTCAAATCCCTCCTGAAAAGCTTCTTCCCTCTTCCCTCCTTTCATATCGTCCCCAAGGTTAGCTCTCCATTTCTTTACAGGATCTGCTTATTATGCATGCCATCCAGTCTATGTGTAAAGAGTGCTCAGATTTCTTTTGATTTCCTTATTCTGCCTTACCTTACATGGAGGAAAAATGACTGGGAACAGTGAGACTGGCTTCCTCAGTAATTCTCTCCCATCCTCTGCCTCATTATTTATTAGCCTTAGATTCTGCTCCAATCATTTTGGCTAGAGATTTCCAGAATTATTAATCAGCCAGCGCCCCAGCTGGAGCCCTTTTCAATGGGAGATGCTAAAGATGTAAAGCAACTGTTATTCCTGCTGAGTTTTTAGATCTTTACCAGAATAGCTTTTTAAATGGGTTCTGCTGATTTCCACAATTCCTTTGTTCTTTATGTGTGCCTATGTGCTTTTAAACATTTTTTTTTCACTTATTTAAAAAAAAAATTAAGGAACAAAATGAATGACTACATAAAAGAAAACAGAAAAAGGACATAGTGGATGGTAAATATCAGTAAATAAAAGAAAGAATGTTCTATTATTAAAGGATTTAAAATCCTTATTCCATGGCTTGAATAATTAACTGTGTGTATAAAACTAGGCTCAATAAATCATCTTGAGAAACCACTGAAAATCACTGTGGCACATTAAAACATGAATTTCAAGGTGCTTCTGATGCCCAAGCAAATCTGTAGACCTCTTTAAAATGATTTGATCGTGAACAGTGAAACCAGCCTTATAAATATCTTTCCAAGGATCGTAGTGAATCAAGCTGAAATTTGCCCCAACTGTCTGCATAGAAATATCCTACATATTGATCCCAGGTTTGTTGCATTTTATGTTCTGCTTTTTAGGAGTTTGTACAGGTAACTCTCAACTTACAACCACAATGGAGCCCAAAATTTCTGTTGTTAAGCAAGTCTTAAATAGGTTTTGCCCCATTTTACAGCCTTTATCGCTGTAGTTGTTAAGTGAATCACTGCAGTTGTTAAGTTAGTAACACAGTTGTTAAGTGAATCTGGCTTCCCCATTGATTTTGCTGGTCAGAAGGTTGCAAAAGGGTCCCTGAACACTGCAACTGTCATAAATCCACACCAGTTGCCAAGTGTCCAAACTTTGATCATGTGACTAGGGGAAGCTGCAATGGTCATCAGTGTAAAAAAATGATTATAAATTACCTTTTGCAATTCCATAGTAACTTTGAATGATCAATAAATGGTTTTAAGTCAACTTATAACCATTCATTTAGTGAACATTCAAAGTTACAATGGCATCAAAGTCATTTTAAGTCAATTTACATATACATTTCAAAGTCAAGTACATATCAAGTTCAAAGTCAGTTTACATATCATAAATATACGCTTTGAAAAAATAAGCATAGCATATTTGGGCTACAAAAAGCTGGGAAATTCTGAATGGCCCCAAAGAGTGTTTTAGTGTCCCCTTGCTGCCATCTTATGGGCATTTAGGGGTTTGCAATTGAGGTAGGGCATGCCTACAAAAATAATGTAGTTGCTTGAAAAGGCCACCAACATAGATCAGCAATTCTTACCCTCCCAAGCTTGTAACATATGGTATATATTATGGGGCTTGCAATATCATTTGTAAGTCAGGCACAAAATGCAACAGCTGGCATTGTTGCCTTCCTAAAGGGAACAGATTTTCTCCTCATGATTAATTACTTAGCATGTGCATCCAGCTCCAGGAGACATTAATTATTCAGCGCTTATGTAGAATGCTCCTTTGTCTTTCAATTCCTTTAGAACAGTGATTCTCAAACTTGGGAACTTTTAAGATGTGTGGTCCTCAACTCCCACAATGTTGAATTGAAGTCCACATATCTTAAAGTTCCCAAGTTTGAAAGACACTGCTTTAAACTGTGTTCCTTCAAAACCAAGTCCTGTTTTAGAGTTTATAATGCATACCCCACATACATCTCACATAATACAAAGAGCTGCAGGAGATATGGCAGTTAAGGAATTGGAAATCCCAATGTTTAAGTCTGCTTGAGCCATCACAGCTTTTAGTAGTAGGACAGCCAAGTTAATCTATGGTGGTACTTTAGGATTCAACATCAACCTAGCCACACTAGCCATCTGATGAAGTCGGCTGCAGAACATGAAAGCTTTCGCCTTTTAATTAAATTGGTTACTTGGAAAAGAAGCTCCCTGGGTGACCTGGGGGCAGTTCTGTGTGGACTAGAAGACCTTCCAGGTCCCTTCCAACTCTCTCTCTCTCTCTCTCTCTCTCTCTCTCTCTCTCTCTCTCTCTCTCTCTCTCTCTCTCTCTCTCTCGTCTCTGTGTTGGAGGAATGTAATAACGTGTGGGAATGACTTGAGAAACAGGAGAAAGATCCTTGTATTAGACAATGGCCAGGCAAATGGCACCCGAGTCTGCAGAAGGCATGCGAACATGGCAGAATAGACAACAACAAAGTTGGAAGGGACCTTGGAAGTCTTCAAACCTCAGCCCCAGCAGGAGACCCTATAATATTCTGGACAAACTGCTGTGGAATCTTTTCTTGAAAACCTCCAATATTTGAGCACCCACAACTTCTGAAGGCAAAGCTGTTCCACTGCTTAATTGTTCTGTCAGGAAATTTCTTCTTAATTCTAGGTTGGATCTCTTTTTGATAAGTTTCCATCCATTATGTGTCTTGCCCTCAGCTTTGGAGAATAAGTTGTCCTCTTCTTTGTGACAGCTCTCAAATATTGGAAGATGGCTATGTCACCCATAGTCCTCCTGTTAGACTAAACATACCCAGTTTCTGCAACTGTTCATTCTGTTTCAGCCTCTAACCCCCTAGTCATCTTTATTGCTCTTCTCAGTATTTTTTCCAGAGTCTCAACTCTTGTATTATGGTGATCAGAACTGGACATAGTATTCCAGGTGTGGTCTTACCAAGACAGTACTAATATTTCACATGATCTTGATACTGTTCCTGTTGATGCAATATAGGACTGCATTGGCTTTTTTGACAGCTGCAGCACACTGCTGACTCATACTTAAGTGGTTAACCACTAGGACTCCTAGATCCCTGTCAGTTATTACTGTTGAGACAGGTTCCACCTAGTCTATACCTGTGCAAAACCTTAGTTTCCTTACCACTGAATTGCATTTTGTTGAAAAGGGACCAGTGTTCAAGTCTGAAAATCTTTCTGGATCTTGAGCCTATCTTTCAAAGTGTTGGTTAATCCTCCTAGTTCGATGTTGTCTGCAAATTTAATGAGTTCCCCTTCTACCCCTTTATCTAAATTGATTACGAAGATGTTGTAGAGTACTGGGGCTAAGATAGAACTACACTGCATACTTCCTTCTGCGAAGGTGTAGTTTCTATTCAGGACTACACACTGAGTGTGGCTTGTCAACCAGTTACAAATTCATCTGATGGTGATGCTGTCTATCCACATTTTCTATCGTATCAAGAAGTAGATTGGGTCTACTGAAATTCAAGCATACTATATCTTCAGCATTTCGCTAATTTTGTCATTTTGTCAAAGAATGCAGTAAGATTTATTTGGCATGCAAACATCTTAGAAGGGATTTTTCCTAATTTCTTGTATTATAAAGAAAGGGTTGGGGTGGGGAGTAGAGAGATGTACTTTCAGATTTGCAAGATTCTCTTAATATAACATTACAATAAAGTCAGAGCTAGTGCTTCTGGGTATTTTTTTTTTATCTGGATTACCTCACAGGGTAGACAAGGAAGGAGTGAAATTTAAGAGGTTTTGAATGAAAAGCAGGAAATAAATGTAACATCTTAAGTTACATTTGGAATTATAAAGGGTATTTTGTTTTTTAGTTTCCCTGAAACCTTTAAGTTGTGTGTCGTACACAAGGACATACACACCCATGGTGATAACAAATACTCTTAACGTTTATGTAGTCGAAATGGCACTTCCAATGCCAAATCACACCTTGACACAAAGGGGGAAGTGATTATTGCATGCTGTTATGGAACTATAAAGAGAATTTTAGGAAATGAGAAAGGACAAAGTTCCTTCATCTCTCACTCAAATGAAAAGTACACATCTTGCTGTTGGGGCTGTCTAAAGTTTGGAGGGGGGTTGGGAATGGAATGCTATATTGAAAAAATCTTTGGCAGGCTGAGCATTTCACCTCCCAGTATTTCACTGCAAGCTCAGTGTGTAAATAAAACAATTCTTCTTTCGATCAGCACCTAAAGCAGTGGGAGTTTTTAATCTTAAACTTCCTATAATTTTATTTTGCTTTTGTATTTAGACTGATTAGACCAGTGTTTCTCAACCTTGACAATTTTAAGGCATGTGGACTTCAACTCCCAGAATTCCACAGCCAGCAATGCTGGCTGTGGAATTCTGGGAGTTGAAGTCCACATGCCTTAAAATTGTCAAGGTTGAGAAACACTGGATTAGACCAAGCCTTGCAAACTTTCTTTTTTCAACCTGCAATAGATACAAATGCTGCCATCTTCTGGCTCAAATAAAGTTTACAGTTATCAACTATACTTGGCTTTTTAAAAGTAACCTTTTAAAATTTTTACCATTCATCCATTTTTTTTTTAATTTACAGTGCGCAGTTAATTTCTGAAAAAAATATTTTTCAGGGCCAGGCCAAATATCATGTGCAGATATTTGTGTGGCTGTTCAGGAACATAAACATAAGCAATTTGTTAGCATTTTTTTTTAAAAAAATAAATCATTAAAAAATTCGTAGAAAAGACCAATCAAAAGAAAAAAAGAGAGAAAAGTGCATTAATCTACTTATTCGTGCTTAGAAGACATACTGCTTTCTTAGAAATTAAGTTGCTTATGAAGAACTTGTGACACTTGTGACAAGGGTTGCTTGAATCCCATCGCTTGTTTCTTTATTGGTTAATAAAAGTTTTCACTAGTTATATAAAAACTCACTTTTTACAACTCTGCAGTCTCTGTTCAGGGTAGAATCAGGGCAGCTGGAAGGAGCTGAGTGTTTACTGGCCGGATGCCCTTCCTGATGCCTACATGCAGCTTTACAGATATTTTCACCTTGCTTTTGTGGAAATTCCAGTTTTTGGTAAAGTTGTAGTGTTTCTGATTTGACCCTTAAAGCATCTCAAGGGATTGGGGACAGCAGAATTGATGTATTTATTATATAACGTTTTCATAGGGCTGTTGGAGCAAAGCTGTCATTTTACCAATTAACAAAAATATCTGTAACAAAATGTCAATTAAAAACAAGTCATTACAATTATTCCATGTGTTAACAATTGGCCTCAAATTTATTGTGCTTTTAGTCCCTGTAATCATTCTATCCCAAATGCCCAAGGACCCCGCAATGCCTTAAAGCAGCTATGCCTGCCATGGAATTTGTACTTACCAAAATACTGTGGACACATGTAGTCCTCAACTTACAACAACTGGGACTGGAATTTTGGTTACGAAATGATGTAGTCATTAAATGAGTCATATGTGACCAGACCGAATTTTAGGACTATTTTTAGTGGACTTTGTTTGTCGGGAACTGACTGGGAAGGTCACAAATCACGGTCATATGACTACAAGATTCCACAACCATTGTAAATATGAGCTGGTTGCCAAGAGCCCAAAATGCAATCGTGACCATGGTGTGTGTGTGTGTGTGTGTGTGTGAAGCGATGGTCATAACTTTGAGGACACGTCGTCACCTTTTCCTAGAACTGTCATTGAATGATCGTAAGTCAAAGACCACTTGTTCAGTTGATCAGCAAGATCAGCAAAAATGTATGAAGTTGATCGGGCAAACTCATTTCAGAAGAATCTTAAATGCAGATTTAATTTAAACAATCAACAGACGAAGGGTAATATTTTTCTGGGAGCTTGCCATTCAAGTTCATCTAAGGAATCATCAACAGAGAAAAAGTTATTCTGTAGATTTGTTCCCTCTAACACCTATTTATACAGATAAAGAAGAGTAAGTCATATGTCAATCACCTACAATGAGGAAGAGAACAGTTCACAAATAATTTTACTCTATTTGCTCTTTGTGTGACTTCAGTCTATTTAAACTATACACAAACACCAGTGTGTAATGCTGGTGGTGGAAGAGCTCTATTAATCCTTGTTTTGCCAGTAGTGCACCAACAACTGCCATCTATGAACATGTGGGAGGAATTATTAAAATGATTCCACTAGCAGCCCTTATATTTTTAATACCTGGCAGGAGCTGATCAAGAAAAGATCACAGAGTGCCAGAGACAAGAGAAATGAAGGCAAGTTATTTCTTTTTGTGGTAAGAGAACAAATTGATGGTGCAATAGAGCAGGGTGTGGAGTACAATCTGCATGATAAAAATTGTAAAAAAAAAAAAGCCATAAGCAAAGCCAGTGTTTTGTGAAATCATCATGCAGGTTCACAATCTCTCCACGTAGTTTTGTCATCGTGTGGCAACCTATTTCACAAATTGTTAATCTGCATTTTATAATCTATTCATCATCATTTCTGTATCAATTTGGACAATTAAGGGGTTCCAACAAGATGCCCAACTTCTATTTTAGATCATGGACCACTTGCAAATTGTTGGACAGCTTAGCAAGCCTCTTAGTAAACTGTTCCAATTCCAGCACGTACATAGCTCATACAGATAAAATGTTGCTTTATTCAGTAGCACCATCAGGGTTGGAAAGAAGTAACTTGTGAAAACCTGGGGCCTGAAGTTTAAGGATTTATTCAATCAGGATATGAAATCTGTTCTTAGAAAATAAATCAAGTTCAAGACCAAAGCATAAATAATTGTTGATTTTTCAACAGATTTCCTGAATGGAGTTCACTGACCACAATGTGAAAACTGGTTTCTTAAAATGACCACTGAAGATACCTACACATTGTGCAGAAGATCAATAGTAACAACCAGATTGCTCCTAAGGACACTTGCTTAACGTTTTACTAGAAAAAAAATCAAGGTAATTTTTAAAGAACTTATAAAGATGGCATTAAGACCAAGTTGGGGCAAAAATGTATGAATCTCAACCTTGGTAAAAAAACCTGAAAATATTTTGTTCATGATTTTATGTCTGTTCATATACTGTGAACCTTTGAGCGAAGTTAAAATATTTTAAGCTGCTTCTGTTTTTTTCATTGTTAAATATTCCACAATTCTGTTCCAAGTCCTGTTGGAGGAGGGAGGCAGTGCTGCTGTCATGCACAGTGCGGTCCTGTGCACGATTACTGGAAATTAAGCCACAGGTTATAGCCCACAGCCTTCAAGTACAGGTAGGAGCAAATGGCCAATGTAGAATAATTAAAGTGAATGCAGTTCCCATTTTTTAAAACAGACGAAAGGAAAAGACACTGGGCATTTCTTTCTTTTCTTTTCTTTCTTTTTTGATTTTTCTTATTTTGGCCTCATTAAAAGCACAAGGAAGAAGCCCAACTGACAGGCATGGTTAGTTAAGTTTCTGGTAGAAATTCCTTCCTCAGTTGAAGTTCTTGTGGCACCTTCAAAATAAAAAGGAACACAAGGATTTTGTAAGAGAGGTTGTTTTAGAAATTGTCCAATCCAAGTATGGGCGCAAGGGTGCAAACATTTATTTTATGAACCACAGTGTTAGAAATGGAAAAAAATAATTATGATGTTAAGAGGTAGGCTCAAGATAAACTGACCAATTAATTCCTACAAAATCTTTTAACATTTTGTTATGTTAATCTAAGATTCATATATATATATAATAATACAATATAAGAATAATTTTATTTAAATTGGGTGGTAATATTCTACTTCACAACTCCAAATTGTACTCTCCTATTACAGGTAGTCCTCAACTTACGACTATGGTTGAAACCAGAGTTCTAAGTAATGCAGACCATTAAGCTAATCATCTCATGACCAACCAGATTTTCTGACATTTTTTGTGATGGTCATTAAGTGAATCACCATGGTTGTTAAGCAAATGTCAGGGCCGTTAAACAAACCTATTGTCCACAATGGGCTTCCCCCCCCCTGGAAACTGGCAAAAAGCCATAAATCATGGTCATGTGACCATAGGACACTGCAAATGGCTGTAAATGTGAGCTGGGCATCAAAAATGGATCATTTGCCCACTGGGGGTGGGCACAGTTGTTGGAACTTTGAATTCTGGTCATAAGTATCTTTTTGGGGTGTGTGTGTCATAACGTCAAACATTTGCTTAAGCAATTGCTCGTACATTAAGGAGTACCTGTATGAGAAATATTTCAGATTTACAAGGGAAAACCTTCTTTGGAACATGGCACCTGTTGGCAACTCATTAAATTAAATACAGTAGTGGCCAAAATTGTGGAAACCTTTTGGGGAAAGTATTTTTGAGGTTTGATGGCTAATAACACCACTTTCTTTTTGGAGTAGTACCATAAAATTATATATCAATGGAAAGATAATTTAATCAAGAATGTAATGCAACAAAGTTTGTTCAATTATCTGTACTGTAATCTATGAATAGTTATAGCTAAATAACCAGAATAAGGAAGCACAACTTGCTTAGGTTGATATCACGTAGCTTTCCTTCATCTGATTGTAGCCAATGAGTATGAGTGTTTAGAGAACCAATCAGGTGTCATCTTGTTTTGGCAATGAGCCAATCAGATCACAATAGGATTCAGTTATTGATGTCATGTATTGAAGCTAAGAGGAGGACATTTGTCAGTGTGTTATGTGATCGCTATCAAGTTGGTTGAGGTTTTTTTGTGTTCTTTCATTTAGTGAGCTTGTAATAAAATTAAAGTAATGGTGCAAAGAGTTGACTGGTTGCCCAGAAAGGGATGTAAAATAGTATTATTAAGTGAACAAGGCTACAGTTATAAAGAAATTAGAACAAAAATTGGTGGAAACTTAACCAAAAGTAGCATTTCTACTTTACACTTTTCCCAAAATATTTCCACAATTTTGGCCACTACTGTACATGAGGCCCACAGTGGAGGAGTGGTCATTAGAAAAGATTCATTTCGCTGAATTAACTATTACTCTGTATGTTCCCCTCTATCCTTGATTACCCAGCCACTGGCGCAAACTAAAATTCTGGGGTCTTTTGAAAATCTATTATTCTGAGATGCAAATAACTGATCACTACACACGTGCTTCAGCACCTTTCCCATGAACCTGAGCAGCTGCTAGAAAAATATAAAGAACACAACACATTTTCAAAACTGACATTATTATATACAAACATACACATACTCAAACTCGGAATTAAAAGTGTCTCACAATATCACATGTCTTAGTAACTTTCTTTATAAAACATCTTAACTTGGACTTAGGAACACCCAACATAGCATGATAGGTGTATTTACATCCCTGATGAAGCAAATCCATATATCCAACCTTGGTTTAGCACATAAATGAAGCTTCTCAAAATTATTCTTCAGAACTCAGCAGTTTAAAAAAGTACAGAAACCCAGAAAAGTAATGTAAAATAACTTGAAATATATTAATTCTTTTAGACTGTTCTAATATTGTACATAAGAAGGTACAGCACGATGCAGTGAACCCTTGAAGAAAAGCTCGCGAACAAGCTTTTCTTCATGGCTACCACTGACTAAGGAAATAGAACATTTTGCAACATAAATGCTAGCAGGAAGACACAATAAGCCAGTTTTAAAAGACAAAGCATAATCAAACCTGTCATTTTAATGGTAAATTGTTTATGGAGATTCTAAGTCATTCAGGCCACGGTTATCCCAAAGGTGCTTTTTCAAGAGGCAATTGGACTTTCTTAATCTAGTTGCCTATTAGTGGTAAATTATACCACTAATAATTTAGAGGTATTTTAAGATAAAATACTTGAAGAGAACATTAGAAAGATATAATTTAAATATCACTCTTTTCCTTTTAAGTCCACATACTTAAGATTTAAATCAGTCCATGTTGATATTATTGCTGTAGCTCAAGGAGTCGATATACTTTATAAAAACAATTCCTGTACCACACACTAGAGCAGGGATGTCAAACGCGCCGCGTCACATGATGTGTCACGACATATCACAACTTTTTCCCCCTTGCTGGAGCTGAGGTGGGCGCGGCTTCTGTGTGACGTATCCAGTCGGCAGTTTGACACCCCTGCACCTGAATGAATAAGAAGGTTTCATATGAAAAAAGGCCAATAAGCTATCTCCTTAGAGAAAGGTTTCTTCTATCTTATGACTCACTAATTGAACATCATTTGATCCATCCACCTTATTTTATTTGATCAGAGCATGGGTTCTAGACTCCTGATGAAATTTTCAAGAGAAGATAATGCTCTTTAAGATAGTCTGGTTCCATCCCATTAAAACCACTTTACCTTGGGCCAAGAAGCACAACGAACAAAGCATTGGTAGCCCAAATTAATAATCTGCCAAACCACCTGTAGTTTCAGAACTACAGATGTGATGACATTTCATAATGCCTGTAATAAATTAATAATCATGATTGTTAAATACTAACTTTCTTGATGATCACCTACTCCAACAACAGCATAGCAACTTGCTTCTGGCTCATGTTTTACCCTTGTTGTATACCTAAAAGTGTCACTGTAAATAAGCTATTTTCTAAAATCAATGGGATTTACACCCGCAAATAACTAAAGCTGATGCTTTTAATCAAGCCAAAACTTAGTACCACAATTAGCTTTTGATAAATAGCCATCAACATAATACCTGATGTCTCCATTAGCATATTATGCATAAAACAAACAAAGTTTTCTTGCAAAGCCTGGTAACAATTATTAATAGTTCACATCTCCTGAATAAAAAGCACTGTATTAATTGTGGATTTCATAATATATTACTCTTAAAAAAGAAAAGAGCTTTACTTAGCTGACATTACATAAATACAGGTAGTCCTCAACTTATGACAGCAATTGAGACTTGAATTTCCATCGCTAAATGATATGTTCATAAAGTGCAACCACATTGCTTAGCAATAGCAATCCCTGCACTCCCGTTTGCTGTCACTAATTGAATCCCACAGTTCTTAGGTGAGGCAACTTCCTGCTGGTTTCTCACCAGTCAATGGGGAAGCCAGCAGGAGGTCTCAGGCTGGCAGACAGGTAAGGGGTGGCGGCCGGGTGGAGACAGAGTGAGGTGTGGGGGGAGGTTGGGGGGGAATGCTTGAGAGGATGCAAGGAGATTCAGAAGACGCGTGGTTCAGGCCAGGGAAAGTACACGAGGATGAGAGGACCAGCGCGAGAGGTGGGACACGGGTCAAGAAGGATGGGTGAGAGAAAGGGGATGGATCACAAAGGATGTGCTAGAAGTGGATCATGAAGAGTGTGTGAGAAACATGGTGTGAGAGGGTCAGGAAGGGTGTGTGAGAGAGTCAGGTCAGAGAGGCGCAGCAATGGTTGGGGAATAGTCCCCTGAGCATGAGCACAGAGCGTCCAGGGAGGTTGCTCAGGCGAGGGAGACTTACTCCAGCAATTTGCAAACTTCCCTGTTGGCTTCCCCACTGACTTTCCAAAGTAGCTAACAGAGAAGGTTGTAAGTAGCAATCACGAGGACCCAGGGCATTGCAACGGTGTGAAACAGTTGCATAGCGCCCAGTTTGTGAGGATGACCATAGGGATGCTGGGAGGGCTGGAATGACCATAATCACCATTCATTCAGTGCTGCTGTAACTTCAAAGAATCACTGAAGGAATGGTTGCAGTTTGAGGATTGCCTATAGGCAATAGTCTAGTGCAGGGGTAGGCAACCTTGGCTTTTTTATGACTTGTGGACCTCAACTCCCAGAATTCCTGAGCCAGCATGGCTGGCTCAGGAATTCTGGGAGTTGAAGTCCACAAGTCATAAAAGAGTCAAGGTTGCCTACCCCTGGTCTAGTGAAACCAGGAGTATATTGCTCTGCATGAGTCATAGGGGGTCACACACATAAACACAAAGAATGGTTACCTGCTAGAATCATAATGACTTCCATAAGATTTAACTGTAAAAATGAAAAACGCTTTTTTTATAATCAGAAAGAATATGCATTTAGTCTACATTACATTAGTTACAGTTCAGCACTCCGACACAAACCTTTAAATGTTTATAATACTGTCTATGGTCTAGAAACAGCACAATCAGATTCTTGCCATAAGCAATAGATTAGGGCTGGATCTACTCTTCCTAAAAGTCCAATGCATGCAAAGGTGATTTCAAAATATTAGCATAGACAGTATGGTGCAGTCAGAGCTTCTGCATGCCAAATATGCACTTCCTTGCGGCCTACACAGCGAAACTCTGGACTGATTTGAACGAAATACCAGGCATGCAAATACCTGCCTAACTTCAGGAAGAGTTCTCTGTAATTCTACATCTAATCTGACAGATACACATCAGTCCTGACAAAACCATCTATGGCTCTGTTGGGAGACATTTATGTCACCGTATATGCCGGTGAATAAGACGACTTCCGGAAGCGCTAAACTCGGCGCCAAAGACGGGGGTCGTCTTATACACCGAGTCGTCTTATACGCCGGAAATACTGGTAGTTTCTGGCGTATAAGACGATGTTCTAGGAATGCGGCTCGGCAATAAAGACGGGGGTCGCCTAATACGCCGGCATATACGGTATGTGAACTTGAAGATAACTTTTCAGCCGTAGGTAGAGGGTCATTATAGGGGATGCTAAGAGAGCAGGAATCCTTGTAAGATACCAAGCAGCATGAAAATGTGTGGTTTAAATGTCTTTCAGACTCAGTTCTAGCATCCTCCATTAAAACAGTGTTAGCTAATACTGCTCTCATCAGACCCTTTCTAATCTCAAGAGAGTCACAACTAGGATATAGTATTGGGATGAACTGTCTGAAGCTGCACAAATTAACTTTTTAAGTTAATATTGGCCAAACAGGAACAACAGGCATGCACTCTTTATGTAGTAGCTCACAATATATAGATAAGCATAGATTTCTCATTTACAGTTAAGTTACTGATTTCCCTCTTTAGCTAAGAAGCAGATACTTATGTATAAAATAAAGGAGATCTCTGCTAAAATAATTAGTAAGAGCAATTGCATCCGCCTCAATTTCATTGCCAAACTCTAGATTTTAAGCATTTGACCATTAGTCTATTAACATGAAAAATATTTTAATTCAAATCAATTTTATTTAAATAGTAGCAAATATTACAACATATGAACTTACAGAGATTGAATTGACAGAAATATTATAATGTACAAGTTCTACAGTCACATTTTGCTCCCATTTTTTATAAATAGCTATAGCATCAACCTTGAATGAACAGTCCTTTGGCAGTCACACAGAAGATTCCAAAATGAAGATAAACCTCAACTGGAATAGTATTATAAAAGTCTTCAAACCATTTCTATTTGGTTGTATTCTGATTTTATTCCCATACTTGATAGTGTTGGAGTTGGCATAAAAATGCTGAGAACAGTTATTCTACCTGGGATATATCGGGGAAAACACCCTGTATCTACAGGGCAGAGATTGGCTTACAGAAATAATCATACACATATGAGTCACAGAAAGTATTCTTCAATTTAAAACACTGGTCCTTCCTTTTTTGTTGATACCACAAGCATGGACACAGTGCAGTGTTAAATTTGTCTGTTCACTCACTTCCTTGTAATACCGACCCGTGGAAATGGAAGGCAGAGTTCCAAGGTTTAAAGTTTCACAAAGATATATGGTATCATAGCGCTTCTATATGATACAGAGCCTCAAGGCCAATAATTACCCTTTAAGCCATTGCTTAACATTTTCAAGTTATGGTTGCATGCTGGAATTGTTCTCATCTCAACTATATAGGCTTGGATTAGCTTGGGATTTTTAACCACAATTTATTGTTCACTTACATAGGTAGAAAAATAATACATATAGGATAAAAATAAGAACACATTATTTTGTTCTAAGTGGCCAGGAGTTTAATATTAAATTTACATTTCTATTATAAAAAGAAAAATCATAGCCTTGAACTTTTGTTGAAATAGAAAGGTGGCCTATAAATATATAGACAAAATACACAAAAGGCTTCAGTCACAACTGTCTTTCTTGATCCCAGTTAGCCTTTTTTTTTTTTACTTCTATCAAGAAGAAAGGGGGGGGGGTTCCTCAGATTTTCTGCAGTTTTCATAATATATTTTTCAACCTGACAAGTACCTTTCAAAGATGCAACTACTGTCTCTTGATCCAATGCAAAGATTTTGCCTCTACTAAGAAAAAGGACACACCTTCATGCACATGTCAGGCATTCCTTGCAAGGTAATTTTCCAGCCAACCAAATGTGCTTTGATGTTAGTTACAGAATCTCCTGCTACAAATTAACAGGCAACTCCAAGGAGACCAAAGAAGAACAGGTGGCAGGAAAGCAACATAGAATTATGGACAGATTATACTCACTACTTTTTATTTCTAGGTTTTAGTTCTTCAGCAGCACTGCGCAGAAAAATATAGTTTTTCTTTTGGGGATTATAGAATTCATGCCCCTGGGGGAAAAAAAAAGGTTGAGCACAACATTACATATATATCTGAATAATGGCATTATAAAGTAGGCGCACAATATTTGTGATATTCAGTTAGGTTTTTCTGCAAAATTACTGAGCAATCATTAATGATATAGAAACCTCTATCTGGAGTAAAGACCAGTTGTTTTTTGACTTAAAACTTCATGTGAAAATATATATCTGAAAAGCAGTTCTCCATTTAAATATCCATGCAAGGGCATTAAGAAATAGTCTATGTGCAAGAGAAGTTAAATTCAGGCTGTGAGCTAAAAAGCAGAATCAGTGGGAATAAAACAATTGTTGAGCGATAGAAATTCCAGTCCCAATTGCTGTTGTAATCTCAGGACTATCTGGGGTTCTATCATCAACGGGGTGAAAGGGAGAGAAATTATATATATTTGTAGCAACCCCATATAATAAGAAAGATTATATTCATATTATAGATAATGTACTAATTTTTCCAATAACCCTTTGTTATTCATCATCAGAATATGTAACATAACTGTAACAGATCTATAGCAGGTTCGGTACTTTCACCTTCTTACCTGCTCCACTTCAGTTAAAATTTGCTATGAAAACTTAATACTGATTTTCTACTTGGTACCAAGTCTTGTACCGACATAAGATGGAATTCAGTGGCATCAAAATGTTGAGGTGAAACCTGATGAGAATTCTTTTCTGAATAATATATTATGTTTAATGCCTATCATTAGCAGACATCTGAAAAAGATGTTTTTCCTTACAATAAATGAGGCTGATATTCTGGAAGATTTCAAATTTGCGGACACAGTAACAACTCACAATATTCTGTTCATATTAGCAATTATACAGGGAGACCTCGCTTAACAACCACTGTTCAAGTGACTGTTCAAAGTCAGGACAGCACTGAGCAATAATTATTTATGACTGGTTCTTGAAGTTATGACCACTGCAATGCCCCTGTGGTCATGTGATCAAACTTCAGGTGCTTGGCACTGTGTCCACTTAGGACCTCAGGAGAACTTTAACTCTCCTTACCCAACTATCTCCCCACCCCCTTTTTCTGGTTGCCTTGCATTCCCCTGGCCCCAGCTGAGCTCCATCATTATCCTCCTCCCATTGCTGATCAAGTCTGTGTGGCGTGACCCTTCTTGAGGCAGCTGCTGGCCATATGTGGCTTCCCAAAGACAGAAGCGGAAGCGAGGGCGGTAGGCCAAGAGAAGCGAAAGATCCTGGTCTAACAACCAGAACTAGGACTACAAAAACTGCTGTCGCTAAGTGGTATGGTCACATTTCACCTTAACAACCACATCGCTTAGCAATAAAATTCTGGTCCCAATTAGGGTGGTTAAGTGAGGATTACCTGTATTCAAAAACTGTATGTTTTCCAACTGCTAAGCAAGTTATTAGAGAGATTTCATTGGAAGTGCATCCCAATTGTTAGCAACAGCAATGGAGATGTTTACTAGATATTTCAGTGCACTGGAGATGCTGAACTTTCCTAACAACTGCTACTGAAAGGAGTTGTCTTAAACAAACTCAGTTACCTTTGACCAGTCATAACTAGAAGCATATGAAAATATGTTGCCGTTATGGTTGAAGCAGCAAGCGGATATTGGCTGGTCTAGCTGCTCGGATGTTTTTAGCTTTGTCCGCGCATCTTTATCCCAGAAACTGAATCTGCCATCGGACCCTACGGTTGCAAGAGTGCCGTGGGCAGGATGGAAGGCAATCCCGTTTACCTGTTAAGTAAAAATTAAAATATAATTTGAATGTTCTCATACTTTCAGTAATGAAGATTGAAGTTCTACCTTATCAAACTTATAATTTAAAAAGTATGGGAAAAAATGGAACAGGAAAACATACAGTAGTAACTACTTCCACAACCAGATGACTTGTATCCTAAGGTATAGAACGAAGTGTATAGTTTGTGGAACAAAAAAGTAATAGCTCCACTTTACTCTGCAACAATCAGACCTGGATCCAGTTCTGAACACTATCTTAAGAAGGGTTCATCACAGCAATTGGAAGTTAAAGGAAATAAGCATGATCTGGAAACCTACGAGAGACAGAAGGACCTAGAACTCTTTAATGTTGGGGCAAGACGACTAAGGGGCATTTGGTAGCACTCTTCAAATACTTTAAATGATGTATCACAAAAGAAAATCAAGACCTGTTGACCTGATATCTAGCATTTCAAAATGCCAGCAAATAATGGATTCAGTATCTAGGAAAGTGAAGTCCAGCTGAAAGTTAGGAAAAAAAACATCTTCCTAACTGTAAAAGCAGTTTGACAGAGGCTGCAATTATCTCCCAATATAGAGGCCTCCCCTTGCTGGAAATGTTCAAATGGAATGTAAACAATTATCGGTCAGAGATACTTTAGGTTAGATTCCCTTACTGACATGACTGGATTCAGAGTCTTCAATAACACCTTTGAGTCTTCAATAACACCTCTTAAAACAGCCAGTATCCTTCACAATTGGCTCGGTAACCTGAGTTTAAATTTAACAATATCTATTAGGCTGCCAATTGCAAAGTCTGTTTTAGACGAGGGACAGTACTGCTTTCCAAATGGGATAGTGATTAAGGCATTCACTTTCATTACTTTTCTCACCATCATATGTTATTCTCACAAAACAAATGACTGCCATTATTTTTTAAGGGAAAGAATGAAAAGTACCCTTAGGAGCCTTTGGTCAAGTAATGCAAGTATTTGAAGTAGGAAGGGCTGTTTTCCATTTCCTCAAGCTAATGCGTAATTGCTTTACATGTAGAGTATAATCAGAACCAAGCCAAACTGTAGCCTCTCTTTCTTTTGTTTAGTTAAATTCTGAATCCCACTTATCAAATAGTAAGACTGGTTTCCACTCAGATGTGTTATATTAAATGAAAATATACTGAGTTGAAAACAGAGCAATTATTTTTGCAATTTAGTATAAATATCCATTTTTCTCCTTTAATTTGTCCTAGAGGAAACTTACTACACAATGCACAAAACACTTACTGCATAGATATCCTGAGGCGCAGATGTGTTTGTACCATTGGATCGATGACATTTGAAGGTAAAGTTGTCTTTGGCGCTGGAAAAAAAATGTATTCTTTCATTTCACACTGCATGCAACACACAGGAGTTATTCTAAAAGCCTGCACTTCTTGGAATTGAAAAGTAAATAGCAGACCACTTCCAGATACTTACGGATTTGGTGGGTTAATATAATGAATGGCAACTCTTCCTTCGATACTTCCAAGGGCAAAGCCTGTGGGTTTGTTCACTTTGTCTTTGAAAATAGCCACACAACGATGCTAAATAAAAGAGACTGTATTTTAATCAGGTACTTTTATTTATGGCAATTACAGTTTTCTATTTATCCCATTAGGAATAAGAAACTAATGCTGGCATTACAGGTAGCCCTTAACTTACAATCATTTAGTGACTGTTCAAAGTTACAATGTCACTGAAAAAGTGACTTATGACTGTCTTTCAGACTTACGACACTGCAGCATCTCCAAAGGTCATGTGATTAAAATTCAGTTGCTTGGCAATTGACTCATATTTATGATGGTGGCAGTGTCTGGGGGTCAGGCGATCCCCTTTTGCGACCTTCTGACAAGCAAAGTCAATGGGGAACCCAGATTCACTTAACAGCCACATTACTAACTTAACTGCAGTGATTCACTTAACTGTAGCAAGAAAGGTCGTAAAATGGGGCAAATTTCACTTAACAAATCTCTCTCTTAGCAACAGAAATTTCTGGCTGAATTATGGTTGTAAGTCAAGGACTACCTGTACAAGCAAACACAAGCCATAGGGTGGAAATCAAGAAAACTTACGTTACCTGATGTTTAAGTGGAGAGTCTATCCTTCTAAATTCAGAAGGCTGATTCTCTAACTGATAAACTATCAAGCCCCTTTCTGCAGTAGCCACAACGGCCATGGGATATATCTAAAACAGGAGAAATTACACGAGAGTACAGATGGGAGAATTTTCAATTCTAATTTTACATGGTCAGGTAGTAAAAAGTGCTTTATTTCACATTCACATCTAAACAGGAAAGTATTTAATACAAAATTAATTTACATTTTTTTCTTGCACTAACGGAACAATCTATTTTATTATAACAAATAATACACATATTAATTACCACGGTATAAAGAAAAGACTGATAGTCAAGTATGGCATGATTCTAACTAATCAAGGCCTGAAAGCTTCTGAAATTCATCTTACCACATCAGCACAATAGCATCGTTCAGGCAACTGCAGCGTCATCATAGGAGTGGGGGTTCGTGTATCCCAAAACTTAAAAAAAAAAAAAAAGTTAAATAAGGCCTCAATAAATTCTTTTATGTAATAGCAGAATGATCATTCATCATTTCACTTTGAAGTGCCTCCAAACCCTAATCAAAATTGATTCAGGAAATATACTATAATGAATGTGGGAGACTGAAGATACAAGTGAGCAAAATGGCTGAATAAGTCATGCTTGGGCTCAGTTCTCACCTTTTAAACTGAAGGAATAAGGATCAATTTAAAAGATTGGCAAGCATTTTTTTTTATACTGTATTAGAATTAGATGTACTTAGGTAAGATTCTGTCCAGTGGAACTCTCAATATTGATTTCTCTATCATTATTATTTGAGGTACTTCAAACATGGCCCAGTTTCAGAAAATGTACTTTTTTATTGATATTGATAATTCTATGGAGCATTCATCTGTATTTTTTATGATTTTTAAAAACTGTATTTATGTCAGGATACCAAATAAACTAGGACTATTTGCTTGGAAGCTCATCACTATTGTGTTCGTCTCTTTTGTTTGTTGCTTGTAGTTTAATTTTTAATCTGCTGCATTTTTTAAAAAGCATTGCTAAAATAGTGTTACAAATGTAATAAACAAAAAACAATTGCTCCTAATTGTAAGTTTGAAGCATTTCACATACATCCTTTATAATCCTCAGAGATATATTGGCACTAACTGGGAATGAATACGTTAAATGGATACTATGGAATAAAGACTTCCCTAAATAAACTGATATTGAATCAACCATTACATTTCACCCTCAAGTCCACACACTTTGAAATAAGTGTCACATTTACAGGAATAAATTGCACCTTACTCTACCATGTCCTAGCAATCATTTCCCTATAATAATTATTACACAGAACTGCAGAAAACCTTTTTATACATTTTTTTTTTAAAAAATTACAAGCTTACCTTTAATGTTTTATCCCAACTTCCAGTCATCACACAACTATAATTTGGTGCTTTAATCCAATGGACGGTCTTTACAGGAGCTTCATGCTGAAGAATATGTTTAAAAGAATTCTGAAATCACTTTCCATTCATGCAATTACAGATTTCACTTTTCTGTAAAAAAAACAACATTGGCCTAGCCTTGTCTTTGCAATGGCTTTGGCAAGGCTCTTACTTTTTCCCTGTGCTTTTCAATTTAATATAGACATGTTACATTTTTGGTCCCATTAAAATACAAGTTTTAATTCAAACCCACAGATATCACTCCATAAGCACCAAGATCATTATATTTCAGTCAGTTCAGAGTTTTTAAATATTTGGAAACCACCTCATAGAGGAGGAATAATTTGAAAAGCACATATTTTATTCCAATGAATACTATATAATCAACTTTTTATCCTACTTAAGAAAAAAAACCTTTCAGGACAAGACTGTGTGATCCAAGCATCATGTATAATATCTTCCCATGCAGCTCCATCACTTAAAATATTTGTATTTGAACATATCCTAAAACATTGACAACTTTCTTAGAAATTAGAGTTAAGTGAGGTTAATTCATTAGTATATATCAGCAGTCTCCAACCTTTCTGGCTCCCAAACTGGCAGTGGCGGCGGGGATAGTGGATGGTTTCACACATGAAACCTAATCTTGCGCATATACAAATGGAGCTTTGTGTGCTCGCCCGTTGCTTGCGCAGCCTGGTTCTCAACTGGCTACAGATTGGTACTGATCCACGGACCGGAGGTTAAGCACCCCTGGTATACATAATCAATTCATTTGAGTATTCTGCACTCTGCCAGGAAACTTTTAAGTATTGTTTTTAACAAGCTTTTTTCCCATTTTGTGGCAGAAACTTGTTGAGAGTCAATGCATCAAACTCTTTGGTGTTAATTTGTTATAAAAAAAAACAATGCATATTTGAAAATTGTACCTGTGCAATTTGTATTGCTTGATTACTGTTAAGATCCCACATTTTGGCAGTTTTATCACAGGACCCTGTGAACACTTTACTTCCATCCTATTAAACAACAGAGAACAAAAAACTATGAATTCCAGAATGCCTACTCAGGGTGAAGACATTTTAAAAAGAAATATAGGTAGTCCTTGACTTACAACGGTTCATTTAGTGACTGTTCAAAATTACAACAACACTGAAAAAAGTGGCTTATGACAATTTTTCAGTTACAGTCTTTGTAGCATTCCCCATAATTGTGTGATCAAAATTCAGATGCTTGCCAACTGGTTCATACTTATGACCATGCTTTGTCCCAAGGTCATGTGATCAACTTTTATCACCTTTTGACAAGCGAAGTCAATGGGAGAGCCAGGTTCCTTTAACTTATTGTTACTAACTTACAAACTGCAGTGATTAACTTGGCAAATGTGGCAAGAAAAGTCATAAAATGGGACAAAACTCACTTGACAAATATCTCAACAGAAATTTTGGGCTCAATTGTGCTCATACGTCAAGGACTATCTGCAGCGTATTTTTTAATGGCTAAACCTCTAAAATGGGGTTGCTTTTCTCACTCTAGGACAATTTCCTTCACTAAAGAAATTGCTAAGGTTTGAAACAGTGGTTTTGATCTCACTCTCCTCCTCCTTCTCTGAAACCCATTATAGACCTTTAAGTACATTTCTTCTGAAATAATGGAACGTACATCACTCCAGCAAACATCTAGTACTGGTCCTGTATGCATCTGTTGGGCTTTTGGGATAGTTTGCCCGTTATCCTGGATTTCCCAACAACGAACCTGAAATGAATGCAGACATTTGTAAATATGAATTAGATAGCGCTTGAAATGTAAGTAGTTTATCCGGTCTCTTTGACGATGAAGTACATTTAGCTTCATAAAAATGCAAGAAGCTCAATTCAAGGCCTTGGAGATCAATTTATATAGCAACTGTGCCACACTTCTCTTAGTAGTTTTCCATTCCATGACAAAATGTTTCATAAATAAAAACCTGAAAAAAGGTGTTTTTGATGAAAAAGATATCAACACACAGAAGTCCAAGGAGCAATGTTTCTCCAGATTTAGATATTGTTGAAGTTTCTACTTTAGTGCCTCTTCAGAAAAAAATAAAGTTAATGTCAATTTGACGAAATGAAACCAATTAGTAGCCCAGGTTCTGATATTTTTACCTAACTCATTTCCATTTTAATATTATGAGAGGTTTTGTTCTGAAATTCCTTTAGAACAAACTATTAGATTGCAGCACTTCCTTGCTGTTAATACTTTGTAACAAGCTCATTTTGTCTCACAGAGGTAGCATGTGGTTACTTTAACTATTGCCCACTTATGGATAATCATATTTTGTCTGCTGGATGCAGTAATTTTCCATTCAGCAAATGCAGGGAAAGCTGAACGCATGATATGCCTCTATTTTCATTTACTTACATCATTTGCCCATGATCCAGCAATAAGGAAATTACCCGGCAACGTTGGTGGGCTGAAAGCCAAACAACCTATGCTGTCATCAGGTGGGGAAGTAACTTCAATATCCTGGAAAAAAGTTAAAAAGTTAAAATGTATTGTAAAATCATACATTTTCAATTATGAACATCCAATTAGGAAAGTCAGAGTGAGAGTCACAGCTACACTTCTACAAAGGAAAAAAAACCTTAAAAAAATAAAATTGCAGTCAGCTCCAATATATATATCTGCATTTAAATCTCATCACTGTATCAAAAATTATATGCTTCAGAGAACATACATAACCTAAAATTGATGTGTTTTGTAAGCAAAAAGTAAGTATCTATTAAGTATAACACTTTATAACATTAATATACTACTCTTTCTCCCTTTCTTTCTTCTGACAAAGTTTGCATACTTCAAAAGTGAAGTGGAAATGTGAAAAATCAGGCTCTTTTAAAGAATAGCAAAGGCTTGTGTCCTTGTGTGAGGTCCAAAGCATTTTTTTCTGAATATTCTTAAGGGTCTACAATTGTAGTAGCTATCTGAATGACAGTTCTAACAGCTACTCTATTGCAGTACTGTATTGCAGTCTCAAAATCTCATAGCAAATAATGCATAAAGCTAAACCTATAATATCTGGATTCAGCCAAAGGGATTATACACCTTCACCAATAGGCAAACTTGCCATCTTTTCAAATTAATAATTTTCAAAATATTTTATGTGAAATGATTTAGTTTTTCTCAAGGCATCCAGTGGCTTAATACCTTCATTGGGTTGTGGTTATCTGTAGCAGTGCTGCCAAACATACTGGTGCCTCCGGTTCCAAATCCTGATGTTGACCCAAACAAACTCATCTTGGTCCTGTTATAAGAATGCAAAAGAATTTCTGGATGTTATTTATTATACAGAGTGTTCATAAATCAACATAAGATATTAAATAAATAACTCTTACTTATGACATAGGTTGCTTTTATAATGAAAAAAGGTTAAAACAGAAATAAATGTAAAAACATCATCCCACATGCCTCTTTTTTTATCTGTAGTTACTCTTTCTAGACAAGTGATATCTGTCCTAGGCTTAAGGCTTTTCCAGCACATTATTATTTGGAAAATCTTTAATCTAAAATTTTAACTAGCTTTAACTTCAGAGTTGCTTATTGTGAGACTTACATGGGCTTAAGCACTCCAGCATCTTCTAAAATGTATTTTAATCTTGGGTTTATACTTTCAACTGAAGTTTATTTAATCTATATATACTGACCACATTACCTTTTTATTTTTAATATGGAGAGGAGCTTTCTTTACACATTTTAATATTTCTTAAAGTACACTACATTACATTCTAGGACAGCCAATAAATAACATTTCATTGAATGAAACATGTCTTTGGACAGAATCATATGGATCTTATTAGATGTGAATTAGTTAGAGCCACTTTGGTGCAGGGAATCAAGTGCTGGCCTACAGAAGGTGAGTTTTAACAGATCCCACTCCCTCCACTCCGCCCCTGCCCTCCCCACCTGTCATTAGATTTTAATGTTTGATTTTAATTTATTTATGTTCTAATGTACGTGTATAAATGCATTTTTTATGACTGTGAGTCACCAAGACAGAGTTTTCCTGAGGTAAGATGGGTGGCCAATAATATTTATTTATTTAATTTATTAAGAAAGGAAGGAAGGAAGGAAGGAAGGAAGGAAGGAAGGAAGGAAGGAAGGAAGGAAGGAAAGAAAGAAAGAAAGAAAGAAAGAAAGAAAGAAAGAAAGAAAGAAAGAAAGAAAGAAAGAAAGAAAGAAAGAAAGCTCCCTTAGACATGAAAAATTGGATGAGTTACTGGTCAGTTACTCTCAATCCAACCCATCTCATGGGGTTGTTGTTGTGGGGAAATAAGAGACAGGAATATTTGTCTGTCTGTTTCTATTTTTTTTAATTTTGGCAACTTTAACATGAGAAGACCTTGACTCCCAGAATTCCTCAACCAGCATTCTGGCTAAAGAGTTATCTTAAAGTTGCCAAATTTGGGGGGGAAAAACAAAACAAGCAGCGTGCCCGATTGCATTCAGTGGGGTCGTCCTTCTGAACTGATGTGGATGTTGCCATCAGTTCATTCCGGTATGGACTCAATATTTCTTGACAGCCGGATTCTGAGTTTCCATGGGAACCAGAATGCCCCGCTGGGTGGCCAATTTTAGTCCTTGAACTCAGAAAGTCTCAGCGAGAGTCCCTAAAAAACCCAGCCCGTTGCCTGACAGAAGGACAGCGAGGACCCAGATCGTATTTCTCTTCTCTTCTCGCTACGAGTGGGGACTGCAGTTCCAATAAACTCAGGTGAGCCGGCTGGGAATTATGGGGAGAGCGGTCCAACGTACTGAGGACAGGATGCCGGTTAAGGGAAGAGCACAACCGAGTAGGAAGCGGTAGAGAGCAGGCAGATGCTCTCTTCCGATCAGAGTTGGGGAAGTAAGGGAAGCTATTTTAGCTTCTTCTATCTACCGGTAGTTTATCGGCGCCCCATTCGCCCCAACGGTCCTCAAAGAAGGACGATGGAGCCCTGCCGACCTTAAGCCGCCTTTCCTACCTCGGAGATCTTTTCCGGAAAGGAACCTTATCCTAAAGTTATCCGGGAGAAGGAGAAAAAAAAAAAAACCCCAATACACCCACCTACCAATCCTCCACTTCCCTCAAGCCAGCACGCCGATCAGGACCGTTGGGATTGTCCGCGAAGCCTAGGCCCTTCTTCACTGCGCATGCGCCAAGTCACGTCCGTTCTCATTCGTCAGCAGCAATTCACGGGTTAATGGCGGAGCGTGACGTATCGGCTTTGGTCTCTGGCGTTGGGTGCGCGATGTTTTCGCTGAATGCGCTGTAAAGTAGCCGCCCGAACTTGGGGTCTCGGGCTGTGCTAACCACTGGGCTTCCTGACCATATGCGCAGATCTCCAGGTTGGGAAAATATCGTAAATCAGTTCGCTATGGATTTTACCAAGGGGGATGCTTAGAGACGGAGTGCTAATGATTGCCTATATAAAGTGTGTTAATGGATCTTTCACTCGTGTTTTTTTCTCTGACAGAAAATAGGAGATTTGTCTATGAACTGCATTAATGAGTATTGAGGAAAAGAAATATATTTAATGCTATTTCTTGCTTGGAACCAATATTATTTTTGATCCGAAGGTTTTCTTCAGTATTGTTAAATGTTACCCACGTATATAATAACGGTTCCTTGCCTTTTGGAAGAAGGCTGTACTCAGAATATTTAAAGTTTTTAAACTATAAATTAGGTCCCTGTTGAACAAATGAATAGCACAAGGGGAGGAAATCCTTAACTATATATTCCATTCATGTTTGATTGTAAACTAGACAAAAAATCATTCTTTAGCTTATTTAGTAATGTGTAAATAATGGTAACTATAAAGACTAACATTCTTACTAGGTTTATTACAATTTTGATATCAGATTTTTAAACTCAACACAAATCATGAACAAGTGCTTTTAATTAACTAGTATACTGTGATAAAGTGTTTCTAAAACAATATTAATGTTCTTTCATCTTCTGTATTTCTTATTTGAAACATGCAGTTATAAAATGTATGAAAACTAATATTAATATAAATAGGATATTCTTCCTATCAGAAAGGAAAAATTAAAGAGAAATACTATTTCACATGGAAAGTATTTTACATAACTTGAAAATTTTATAAGGTCTGTCTTAAAAACCTCTGAAATAAATTGTAGTCCATTAGGAATAATTAACTATACCTTCCTTTTGTTCTCTTATATGTTCTGCATATTTTTACTTAGATTTTTTTATTTATATTCTTTCAAAATACTCATTAAAAAACTTTAAAAGGGTGTCCTGATATTCAGATCCATCCACCGAATTGCAGCTTGTTTGGTAAATAAACCCTCGAAAGATAATCTGTTGAAAATGAAGTCAAAGCCTGAATTTCAGCCTTCATTTTAGATGTTTCCATAATATCTAACTGTAAAAGAAAAGCATTGGAAATTAGCATTTCAATTAACATTGATTCAGATGCATAATTCAAAAGACAAACATTTTATGCCATGGATTTCACATTACAAATATGATTGACCTTAACTATACAGACAAGCAGAGGTTATTTTGCTACACTATAGTGCCAGATGAATTGTGTGTTGTCTCTCTCTGTCCTCATTTACATCTACATCTACATCTTCCGTTTACATAAATTCAGCACATTGTCAGGACAAGTCAAGCTTATACATCTCAGATATTTCCTTCAGCATGTAGGCAGCTACGAAATGGCAATGTTCTTTGCCTTTAGGTAGGCATTTAAGCCTCAACTGTGTAATAGCATGAGACAACTTTTCTCTGCCCTCTTCTAGACTAGAGTCTATGAGGTCCTCTGGAAGCACACCTTGTTTTGCCCTACATAGGAGGGCATGTTTAGATTTGCTGCTGATCAAGAAGACATTTTATCCAGTTCAAAGCTATTTAGGCCAAAGCTATACAATGCAGTTTTTTTTAAACTATTTCTTGACTCAAACATCAAATTAAGGTTTTTTTAATTATTTAGACTGGAGATCTAATGTTTATGTTTGAACAGCAGAGGGGAGCACCTGAGTTCTGGAGTTCTTTTAAATGCTTTTTAATACTAATAGAGACAAGTACAATCCCACAAAACAAGATTTTTTATCCTCTAGTCCATGAGGCAACACAAACATGTCAGCCTGGATTTTCTGTGTCTATATTGCCAGACTCCCACAGTTTATCAGCACATTTTACAAGGGATCTCAGCCAAATAGTCTATTGCTGTAGTTATGCTAACATTTCACACTAGGCTGCAGCTCTGGATGTATCAAGAAGACTTTCCCACTAAAAGCAAGGGCTGCCATCATATGTGACCTGTTGATATGAATGTTGACACACTGTATAAAGGATTTGTGGGATCCCTGCATAGAATATCATATCACAAGGGAACATAACATGTGAGCATACTGACATGCTGTGCAGAGGAGAGTGGAGTGGAACAACATACATGCCCCAGTCAAGTAGCCAATAGATGATGGGCAAATTATTGTCTAATCAGTTCATTGCTGCCAAATATAACATTTCATCTAAGATCAAGGCTTTTGCTGGGAAAAGTTGAAAAAAACACTCAGAGCAACCAGTCCCTTGGCATCAGCTATGGGCTGAAGATGAAAAGAAGGCTCATGTGGAGTTATTCAATCAGTCATTCTCAAGTTAAAGAGGGGACATGTAGTTGAGCCATACATTAGAACTCTACCAACAGAATATAAATGAGTTTGCTCAAACTGTTTATAATACAAAATACAGAATTTATTATGATCTGTACGTACTTCTTTTTTCCAGGCTGACTCATGAACAATATATGGTCTTGTCTGTAAACCAGTTAATTTACTCTGATCTTCTTTAGTCAGTGGAATTAGTGCACTCTTGGGAATATTCAGCCTAAAAAACAGTTTGATTAATCTGTGCTTATGTTTTACAGTTAAAGATTTATTTTTATTTTTCATAAAATAATACTATAAAACTGAACTAAAAATCCAATAAGATTAATATTGTCAAATGTTAATTTTAAGCTAAGGGCTTTGCACATTTTAGGGACCATGAAATGTTACTTACCACTAGGTCATTATATAATTGGAACATTAACATACTTAATGTGTCTCACTATCACAAGTCATTAGTTAGTGCTTGCTTGTTTTATCATTCTACAGGGAAATGAATGAAGGATGATGATAATTCAGGGTGCTTCATATTTGCTCTAAGACTCTTAGAAACTAGTGCTGTTTTGCTGCATTATCCATTTTTTCTCTCATCCAGTCATTGAGATAGAGCCCCTAGCGCTGCTGAAGACCTAGATGTGATGAAATTGTACATAATACTGTTCTACAATGGGGAGTGTGTTTAAAATTTAAATCAAAGTGGGCAGAGAAAGATGTCTTGTCATATTTCCAACAGATTAAGCATGCAGCAAGGCACATTCTATGAAAATCAGACAGAGCATATCTGTATTCTTGCATGAACATAATGCCCGAATAGCAAGCTTTTGTTTTATTTAAATTGTATGGTTATTCTTTAAATAATTCCTTTTTATAGTCTGAAATATAGATATTAAATGAAAGCTTGCTATTTGAGTTGCATGCTGAAGGTTTGGGCAAAAACAGACATGGGAATGAATTGATAGCAATGTTCCAATATTTGAGGGGCTCTTTCAAAGACGAGGTCAAACTATTTTCCAAAGTACCAGAAGGCAAGGCAAGACACAATGGTTGGAAACTAATGAAGGAGAGAATCAACCTGGAACTAAGAAGAAATTTCATAATGGTGAGAGCTATCAACCAGTGAGTGGTTGCCTTCAGAAGTTGTAAGTACTCCATCACTGGAGGCTTTCAAGAAGAGATTGGACAACCATTTGAAACCATCTGAAATAGTATAGGGTCTCCTGCTTGAGCAGTGGGCTGGACTAGAAGATCTTCAAGGTCCCTTCCAACTATTATTCTATGTTCTATGACTCAGTATTTCACGTTATTTGGAAGAGACTTGGAAGTTCTGGCAGAAATTCCTAATAGATCAGAATATATACTGTAAGCATGGGATTTAAAATTCTTAAGTTAAATTCGTATATGTTTACTGTTTATTTCTACATTTATACAGGTAGTCCTCAATTTATGACCACAACTGAGCCCAACATTTCTGTTACTAAGTAAGACAGTTCTTAAATGAGTTTTGCCCCATTTTATGGCCTTCCTTACCACAATTGTAAAGTGAATCACTGCAGTTGTTAAGTTAGTAACACAGTTGTTAAGGTACCGTATATGCTGGCGTACAAGGCGACCCAGCGTATAAGATGACCCCCGTCTTTATCGCAGGGCCGCATTCCTAGAACGTCGTCTTATACGCCGGAAACTACCAGTATTTCCGGTGTATAAGACGACTCGGCGTATAAGACGACCCCCGTCTTTGGTGCCAATTTCAGCGCTCACAGAAGTTGCCTTATACGCCGCCATTTACGGTAATATGGCTTCCTTATTGACTTTGCTTGTCGGAAGGTCACAAAAGGTGATCACATGACTGGGACACTGCAACAGTCATAAATATGAGTCATTTGCCAAGCCTCTGAATTTTGATCATGTGACCATGGAGATGCTGCAATGGTTGTAAGTATGAAAAATGGTGCATTGTAATTTTGAACAGTCACTAAATGAACTGTTGTAAGTTGAGGATGACCTATACTTATTAAATCATGGAATATACATAGTTCTGTGTGCCACAACTGAATGAAAAATTAAGTAAAGGATAAGTCATGGTTCTAGTCATGCAATACCATTGCATGTGTTATGCTAATGGTTATGTTTAAGGCACTGCAACCGTGTACCTTGTAAATTTGTGCAGAGTAAACCAATATTAAGAAAATATTAAGAAAAAATGAACTTTTTTTGCTTTTTTAAAAAATTGAAAGTATGATAGTTAGAAAAACTAACCGATAAACATCAGATGGAAGGAGGCCAAGCCATCTTACAGCTGGAACTGTGAGGCGATGGGCTTCAAACGACATAGACTGAAACATAAAATCACAATCCTTTTTTTCAATATGTCTGCTTTTAATAGATTGGAACTTAATATAAAATAAGGCTTTTAATGATTAATATCATTGTAGGCATATCTACTTTGATTGACTTATTATGTGCCATCAAGTCATTGTTGACACTTAGTAACCAAATAGATAGATATTCTCCATGAGGGTCTGTCCCTAACCTGGTCCTTCAGTTCTTCTAATTGTGCACTCACAGCTAATGTAACTGAGTCCACCTTGCTGTTGGTTTTCACTTCTTAGAATGGTCCACTCTACTTGGACTTTTATTATTTTTATCCCCAAATTTTATCCCCCAAATTTATTATTTTTACCCCCTAACTGTTTAGGTAATGGGAGAAACAAGTTCTGTTTTTCAATGCATTATTTGAAACAACTTTTCTAAAACTTCAGCAGAAGTATAAAAATTAACCCTTGTGGGTTACATCCATTTATGAATTCATGTGTTCTGTATCAGACCTAAGCAAAACAGAAAGCATTATAAAAATTAAAAAAAAACCACTTTATGTGGCAAAAGCAGTGAATTAGCCAAAAGGGAGATCAACAAATATTACAGTATGCAATGGAGCCTAATTCTCTTCTCCCCTGATGTGCCTTAAAGTGAGCATTTGCAGGCTGAAGCAACATGTGGGAGTGTGTTTATTCATTTCTCTCTCTGCAAGGTTTTGATCAACTGCTTTATTTACACCGTATGAGAGATATCTGCTAATCAAGTAAGGAAATCCAGTTAAAGGGAAGAGCTGTTGAAGAAATATCTTCCATATCAAGCCTAGGCAGGGCTTTTTTTCTCATAGAACGCCAGAACAGAGTTCTGGCACCTTTTTTTGGATGGAACCTTGTAGGGTAGGCAAGGCGGGTTGTATGACGTGTGTGACTTCTGGCACCTTTTTTTTTTTTTACAAAAAAAAAAACCACTGAGCCTAGGTATTTTAAAATGCTTTCATAGGCATATACAATGCTGCAGCAAACATACGGTTGAGTATTCTATATTTGTGGTTCAACTTGTTATTCTTTCCAGAAGGGAAGAGGGAGTTAAACATTTTCTCAAATATTACATTGATGTGCCATAGCTAACCTTGTGCTTGATTATTAAAAAAAAAATTGGAAGGGGTTGGGATGGAATGACATTTACCTTGCAGACTGGGAATGAAATTAAAATTGAGCTTTACTGTAGTTGAATAACTGCTGTATATATACCCTAAACGTTTTCTTGATTTAAATATTTATTAACAAGAAAGATGGTTCATATTGTGAGTGAACACTATATTTATTCTCTTCTCAGAATAGAGAAGATTGGATGGTGCCATGGTTAAGATGTTCGACTGGCACCAAGGACACCCAGGTCCTTCTGTCTACCCTTTGGTAGACTTTAGGCCAAGGAATGTCTCAGTCTAATCTCCAACCCAGAAGTGTTGAGAAGAAAATAGGAGAAAGGAATATTATGTATGTCATCTTTAGCTTCTGCAAATGAGCGTGGTATTCTGTAATCTAATAAGTAAATAATAAAACGTTCATGACACATAGGCTATGTGCATTTTTTAAAGTACCATAAATCAATATGACTGTGATTTGGATAAGTTTTCCCTTATTTTAAGACATAGGTGTTGTCATGATATAATTTTTAACCATTGTTAAAGCTTTTTTATACTTTTCCTATCGTTAGTCCATTAGCTTTTCAGTCTTAACTTTGTCTCGCCATCCATGCAAGCTTGACATTCTCATTATATCTCAGCCTACTCTTTTAAAATTCTTTTGCCCTTTTTATTCTTCAAACATAACTGTTAAAGTGTGACATGCAATTCCACCTCTCTCTTCCCCCCATGGAAGTACAGGCAGATAGTTGTCAACAAGGTACAAGTGCTCCTTGATTCCTCTCTAGGAATCTTATGGTTTTGTAGATTTAAGATATGACTGTAGTCTGGATTGGAGTTTCTCCTGACTTCCATGTACTACTGAAGATTGTTAACGCCCTGTAGGAGTCTCTCTTGCTCTGAATGAACTGCCAGTATATTTTTGACCTTTTTATCTAACTTGAAATTCTACATGCCAGAATTCTCAACATTTGAATTGATCTTCTCACTGTATGACCAATCCCAATCTACCTTTCCCGATCATTTAAAAGATATATAAGATTTGTTTTCCAAACAACCTTTCAATTTCAAGCCAAAATATGAGAAACTGATAAAGTCTCTGTGTGTTTGTGGGTATATGCGTGTGTGTGCACATGCTTTTACCTTTTCATTCACTGTGAAACAATATGACAAGTTTAATAAAAAGAGCCGAGGTGGCACAGCAGTTAGAGTGCAGTACTGCAGGCGACTTTAGCTGACTGTGTTCAGCAGGTCAGCGGTTCAAATCTCACCGGCTCAAGGTTGACTCAGCCTTCCATCCTTCCGGGGTAGGTAAAATGAGGACCCAGATTGTTGGGGGCAATGTAAATATATATATACATTGCTTACTGGTGTACACTGCTTAGAGAGTGCTTGCACTTAAAGCGGTATATAAGTCTCATAAATAAATAAACTTACCACAGATCCATATTTGTAGATACTCATTATTTCAACACCTATACACAAACAATATTTTCCAGTTATTTTTTACAATGTTTTAGCAATGAATTCCAAATAAATGAATTAATACCAAGTATATGCATGACACAGATGTCCCAGAGAAGACACAAAGTTTTGAAGTTCCTATTCAGTAGCAATGCCAGACAGAAATAATGAACAGATTTATCACCTTGTATTATGTGTGCATCAAGATCAAGAGTACTACATCTTACCATATTGGTAGCGGCAAGAGAGACTCTTGGATGAAAAACAGATAGGAAAAAAAGTGAAAGAAAAAGAAGAACATAGAACATAGTGGGATGCTGAAGGAAGAGAAAAAGAGTCTTGTATGAAAAAGTATTAGTAGATGGATTAATTTCCCAACAGAATGAACTGTAAATGAACTTAAAGAAGGCTGATTGAAGCAGAATGAAAAAGTACATTTCAAAATGCAACAGAACTATGTTGAATAATGGGAAGTATGGAAAAAAGTGACAGGTGAAATAATGACGGGAAAAAGACTGGATGAAAAAAAAAAATCAAGCAAACAGCAAGATAATTTGCAAAATCTGAGAAGTGCAGTGTACTTTGTACAAAGGGTATAGAAACTAGATTTCTGTTATTCAGGAAATCAGTGAGAAACATACGTAATAAAACTATTATCCCTTTGTTAATTTAGAGACAGTATATGATAATCAAAAGGCTTGAATGAGTTCCCACAGAAAAAATGGAATATAAATCAAATCAATCAATAGAAAATGTTTTGCACGAATATGCATTTGAAGTCCATTGCTAGGCAGAGTAAAAGGAGTATATGATGGAAGTACAGTATGTGTGAGAATTAATTAAATGCTTATCAAATAGTTCATATCTGAGTGTGACGTAAGATATAGATGTGTGGTGTTTCCTTATCTTAAAGTTATTGAATGTATAGGGAATTATTTTGGTGATTTTAGAGGCATGGTGGTGAATGTGTGCATTTTTTGTATGCAGATCAGATAGCAGGTACAGTATTGCCCCTCCCCCTGCCTGGTTTGTACAGTATATAGATCAGTTTCTTACCCCTATACAAAAAGAGCTTAGCTTGGATCACAACACTATGACTGCCATTGTCTCTTACTTCTTTGGCTATTCTGCAGGAGATAAATTATTGCTTGAAAACCTGGATGGTTTGTAATGAATGTTAAGTAGATTGTATGATCTACACAACATTCAACAAGAAGTATAGATTTGAAAATTAAAGTAACAATGAACTAGATAGTTGTGTTTGACAGAAGAAAGGAGTTTGACTACAGAAAGGAGATGCATTTGTCTATCACGGTAGAATGTTTAATGAAGGTGGCAAAATAGTTGGAGAAATTTTAAGAAATCTAATACTGATAAAAAGCTAGTGGGCAGTAAGTGGTTTGTAGCAACAAATGAAAGTTTGTTTTTTAAAATACCCAAATGGCTTGTAAAAAGAGTATATGGATACTACTGCCTATGTTGTTATATAAGAATTGAGTATGTCAGGAGAAACATAACATAAATTGAATACAGTGGAAATAAGTATCTGTGATAGGAAGAAAGATCATGAATGGATTAGTGTTGAATGCTAAATAAAACCATTGTAACCATAAAACATAATTTGTGGAAGAGTGCAGTCAGTTTCCCTAACGATATAACCACTGTACAGATTCCACACCTACATTACTGGATCTCTAGACCAGATGGCAAAGACACGGAAAGGAATAGCAAATGATATATATTTATATAAATTACTTTGATCTATATTTCCTTTCTCTTAGGGCCTTCATTTTGGATTACTATTTCTTATTCTTTTTTGCATAGCATGCTTCCTTTGAAACAAAATAAATTACAGGGTCATAAAAAGGGAGTTTTAGTGTGATGAGTGTTTATGTCTGTATGTAATATATACTAGTATATTAATATTTTTGAGAGACTGTGGTGATCAGGGGCTGATCCCTGAGAACAAAAGGTTTATTTTAAATGTTTACTGCTATTTATGGATTATTTGGATTTTCTCCACCACGATCTGTATCCCTAAAAGAAGGGGATAGGAAGGCTGAAATCTATCCCTTGTCAGACAGAGAGGAATGGGGGGAGAAACAGAAAAACAATTCTTCCTCTATGCTCAGATAGAAAATACCCATTACCATGTCTACCTTGCTAGACATCTGGTATAAATAGGTATAGAGAATCTCCATACTTACCGTGTGGGTCAGCATCCATGAGAGCAAAAATTGGTATGTGACAAGTATCCCATAATTTTCTGACTAGTAGTCTTGTATTGATATCTGGTACACCTTTTCCCTGAAGAAATAATTACAATATTTATAACTATGACACATTTTTCAATATATGTTTAGGCACAGTTGCTTCTACTCAGCAAAATTCTTTACTACAGAACTCTAAATTCAGCTTCCAATGAGTATAATCATTTTTTTTACAATTGTTTATATTAAATGGATGAGACAATAAAGTCTACACTCACAAAATTAATACCTAAAAGCTGTATAATTTTTTTGGTGAAAACTGGGAATTAAAGTATAACATACGATGAAAAGAGTTTTTTTAGAAAACCCAAAAGATAAACCTGCTTTTAGATACAAATTAGGCAAGACTTGCAAAAATAAAAAAAGGTATTTCCAGTGTCTCAAAGTACATTTGGATAAATGCCAAGAGGATCTCGTTGAGGAAGGTATTGTATAATGCTGATAGTGATGAGATGACCACCCATCTGAAAGATTTGCCTTGGTCCCCACAGTGCTCTACTCACACCCCTGACTAGAGATAGTAGCAGTAACTCTTCCCACATAATTTATATCAACTAAAGTTCTGGATTCAGCACATTAACATATAATGAAAGCTGGAATTCTGCTCTGAGTGCACAAGCTTTCTTTACCTATAAACCTACTGGTCACTATGGATAATGGATGCAGAGATAGCCATCAGGAGGACTCTGTACTTTTATCTCCATTCCTTCTCTAAAAAGACCCAGTTTGCACATCTCTATGTAACACATAGAGTATCCTTTTGATTAGCATTCTCAGGGATTTCATCACTTTTTTTCTCTCTCTCTTTGTTCTCTTTTCACTCTGACCATACATTTCAGGTACTTCTCTGGGCCACTCTTTTTCCATAATGTAAGCTCACACTACAAACTCTTATCTGTAGATAAAATAACTAAGGCTTTCCTATCAGTGAATTATTTTCTAAATAAAGCTTATCTTTATTTTCTTTCATACGAGCACCAGCCTCAAGAATACCTTCAGTTACACTCCTAACTTTAGTGTTTCTCTTTCCATGCATTCTTTCCATTATATAAAGCCCTCTGCTATCCAACAATGTATTGTTGTTGGAACTAATGGAGGCCCATTGAAGCCAGAGAAAACTCTGTTAAGTAGGAAAGATATTTTGCCTTAATTACAAAGATAAATCGGCAACCCCTCCTAAGCGTGCACTTGACCCTTAGAGCAATGTGGCATTGCTGATATACTGTAGCTTAAACCACCAAGCTTCTACTTTGGCTAGACTGAGCTTTAAGTCAGCAGCTATCTGTCAGTGCATCACATAAACTCCGATTAAGGTTTTCAGTGATTCAGATGATATATTTCTGTGTATCTAAGTTTTCAGAACATGAAACAAGATGACAAGACTCTAGGGCAGACATGTCAAACACAAGGCCCGGGGGTCGGATGCGGCCCACGAAGTGGTTTCATGCGACCTGCGAAGCCATCTTGGAAACAGTGAAGGAATGGCTCCCGCTGCCTTGGCTCTGGCCCAGGCCAGCCGGGAGCCAATGTACAATTTTGTGGTAGCTATCTATGCTGAAACGCATTCAGTCTTAGTTCCATAAGGTCGTCTAGAAACAGCGAGGAACCAGCCCCTGCAGCGTCAGCCCCACCCCCTGGGTGCATGCTGGGGAGGTGTAACCCTTTGTGAGGAATGAAGAAATGCACCATGCCTTGGCACTTGCCCCGGTCCCACCCCTTTCTGCCAGAGACCCTCAGATCTGTCCCATTCCTGCCCAGGGCTCCACAGGCACCCTTGATGCGAACGATGTAGAGCTGGCCATGCCCACCCAGTAGGCCACACCCACTCCATCCAAGCCCACCCAGTAGGCCACACACATCCAGCCCCCCGAAGGCAACCACAATGCTGATGCAGCCCTCAGTGAAATTGAGTTTGACAACCCTGCTCTAGGGAGACATGTGTCCTGCTATTTAACCGGAATTAGAACCTTTTTAGTACTTCTGCCAAGTATGAGAAGAACTCTAAGCCTTCACTTAGAGAGTGATAGCACCACTGTGTGAAAGCTGTGAAAATATGAGGTTGAAACTTGGACTTTTGGGGAATAATGGGCACCAGTTATTAGCTAATCATATGGCTGGGCTTGTGTGGTTTGACCATAAACATATGGTTCACCAAGCATATGGTTGGAAATAACACTTCCAACCTCCTGTCTTACCTCTCCTTACTTGGAAACCCAGAGTTCTTGAGATCTTCCTGATTATTGCTCCTTCCTGATTCCTTCAGACATGAAGTGCTGCTAAGTATACCATATTTGGCTTTATAATGCTACTTACATTATTTCTTATTGATGACTTTATGGTGATGACCATGTTGTCGGTTTGGGATGATAGGATAATCCCACCATGTTACCCCAGGAATAGAAAAGATCACGTGATCATCATGCTGGTAGCATTGCATGCTTAATATCTGAGTTACTTCACTTAGTAGTTTCACATGACATTGAAAATAAGATGAACTCTTCTACTGACCCAAAGCACAAATGTCATGTGGTTGAACAGTAACACCCTAGCACAATTTTCTCAAAAAATAGTCTAGATATCAGTAGAACCATTGTAAAATACGAGTCCTAAGCAAAGTCTTTAACAGGAGGCATAATTGATAGTATTAAAAATTGCTGAAATGTATCCAGGAGAATTAACAAGATTATGATTGCATATTATAGTAGCAAACCTCATTGTATAACCAATGCAGTTTCATTTCTGAAACCAGTCCTATATACAATTGAAATGAATTTGGACAATTTATTTGAGAATGTTTGGATTTGCTTAGTAACATGTAAAATTGTACCGTAATTATTATACTTGGGGTCATTTTACAGCAGAAGTTGTCATCTAACAGTCTCTGAAAAGTTGCATCTTTTTCTATAATTAGAATAAATTTTGCATCTGTAATCAAATCTGTAATGTTAAAGGATTCAAGAAAATATATTGGAATTTAATTGCACTACATAAATTACTGGATATTATATAATTTTCTGTTACTATAATATAAACAATTTTAACATCAGTCATGCCATTTTATATGGAATCTTTAATAAATTTATATTCAAGTTTTCATTTTGTTTTTTTACTTTTTTTAAATCTATACATTTTGCTTAAAGGATACTTCTTATTCCTTCTACATTAGATGGTACAGGTGTCTAAAAAAACAGACATCAAATTGTTTTAGAAACTTAGGAAAGAAATTCTTTCAAATGAATTAGACTATAAAAAGCAAAAATAAATCTCTAAAAGTCTTTTCCAAAATAATTAACTATAGTAATTCTTCATTACTTTCTAAATATTATGGTTTTATATATTAACACGCTAATTCTAACCATCCTTTAAGAGTGGTGAATGGACCCATACATTAGAAATATTCTGTGATTTAGGAGTTTATTAAACTAAATAAAATCCTTTGGAGAAAGAAAAGCAATCCTCTCTAGTATTTTGCTAGTAAAATCCAAGAACCATTCACAACCCAGAGGTAAGATGAAAACTACATCATGTGCAGAAAAAGATTTTTCCAGGATATGCAATAATTAGGTGCAAGTTGAGAAAGTCCAGATACTTAGTTCAGTAAAATTATACCCAAGCATCAATACTTTGATTATCGTATTAGAAACCTAATGGATATAAATAATGATTTTATCTTATTGAATATATACAGTAATGTATATATTCTGTATATAGAATATATACAGTAATGTATAGAATATATACAGAATAAAAATTACAAGGCCTCATAATGCATTGAGCAAAACATATCTATGTATTTCAACTAGAATACAGAAATGCGCACCTTTCTTATATAAAATCAGGATATAATGAATTATACATACTGTGATACTGCAAGTACAATTTACTTTTGTACCATCCTCCTCAATATAACTAAGATTACCAGCAATGCACCCTTTGCTAGTGGAGAGCTGCAAAGAAAAAAAGTAGTAACTTCAGATAATAATTACATAGTTACCAGGATAATATATCTAATCATTATTAAGGTTAGATAGGGAAAAAAATGTAAGTGATGTAATAGTGTTCTTAATGTAGTCACAGGAAATTTTATCAGTTCTTTTATTGGATTGGCTGAACTTAATATTGTCTTAGGCAACTACTTCCTCATGTTCATAAATAGTATGACTTATTTCCATACCAATTTGAAATTTATAGAAATTTGACCACTATCCTCCAAACCTTTCCTAGACAATATTTAAGTTCTTTAATAACTGATCACTCAAAATCATCCAACTGCATTTTTTGGTTTGGCAAATGGGGAAAGTTTAGAGAAGGGGCTTTCTGGCAGTGCCAGTCTTGCAGGAGCTATAGGAGGAGGATATCTCCCTTTTCCACTACAGTACTGAAACAATATGCTGAAATGTTTCTTTTTCAAGGTGGATTATAGAATGAGTGAACAATCATAGAAAGGGCAAATAAGATTTTTTTTCTCTTCTTTTGGCTATACTATATAGTTTACTTCTTGAGTGTCATTAGAGAAAGGAAATGACAAAAGACCATCCCACAAACACATGCACAAATATATACTTTCTTCTCCCTTCTATGATTTGCACCTGCCAAAAAATCTACTCATTAGATATAGATACGATTTTTCTATTTTTATTTTGTCGTGTTTCTCTGTACTTACTGTTGTGGGAAATTAATTAAAATATTATTTCATACCTTTTCTCCCCAAAATATACTAAACTTACAGATTACAGATCATGTAAGACACATTTAATACTTAACAATATGTAGAGTCCTTCTGGGTATCTTTAGCATACAGGAAACGTCATTTATAATATTGTCCACAACCCTCTGATTACCAAAAAGTACTGTATCAGTGTAAAAGATATCTCTGTCAAAATAAAATGTAGTTTTAAAATAAAATATTTACAGTCTCAAGAGATTTCAATGCTACTTAGAAAATAGTACTCATGAATATTTAGCAAAGGTTATCCCATAAGTATTGCCTGTGGACATTATTCCCCTATTCTGTCATCTTCCTTGTTTCTTATGTTTCGTCTCTTCTAAATGGAACCCAAATAATTGAAAATTGTAGGAAAAATCCCCAAAGGGAGTGTTCAGGACTATTCTTATGCAGTTTTTCAACAATAATTTTTACAAGTTGTCAGAGTACTTGAGCTAAGATGAGGAGGAAAATATTCAGACCTCTATGCAACCAGAAAATGGGCTGATTATTTTCTCTTTCAGTCTGTTTTACCATAAAAGAGGATAGAAGCTTAGGAAGTGGCATCGAGAATGATGAATTCTGCTTTGAGATGCTTAGATAAACACTTAAATGTAATACATGTTATTTTTGATGTGTGTTAACTTACTCGTGACATCTCTAAAGTTTGGATCTGATTAGGGAACAAATGATTCCCTTCATTCTCTTACTACTATATCATTAAATGAACAAAATTTGATCAGCCATATTAATTTATCTGAAACTTGAAACAGCTACTCCGGCATCCTAAAAACACAACAGTCTTGTAGGTTAATTAGGTAATTCAGATGTAATATATTTGGTAGAACGACTTTCAAAAATATTTCAGAATAGTGAACTAGATTTTGTGTTTCAATGAATAACTTCACTGCTTAATATTTCAAATAATATCGTGGTAGTGAAGAAGGCCACAATAGAAATGCTATCACAGAGGCTATGTTTGTACAGCAAAATAAGTTGTTATGAAATTAATTCACTTTTGCAAAATAAGCTCACAGGGTAGGAGTCATCATAGGCATCTGTTACAAGCCACAGCGTCAAAATGATGACATATGCATCATATGTTATCATACTAATGATACTAATAATATAGTTATATAATTTTTGCCATGACATCTAACACAAGTATCATATGATACCTCTCTTTAGGTTTGTTTCTATGAAATTATAATTGGCAGTAGGAATAATACTGAAGAAGATTCACTACTAAGACAATAGTTCTATAAAAGAAGTTTAAGCCCGAGGCAGAAATGTAATTTGAGAAAGTTTCCCAGACTTGACCCTTACTATTTCTCAAAAAGATAAAGTGAATAAAGATAAACACAGAACTATGTCATAAATAAATGAAGAAATATGAAGTTTTTGACTCATTTGTTTGAGTTTTTCTTTTCTAGTTTTCAGACTTGTCTGAAGAACAAATCACATCTTAGGCCATATTTATGCAGAAATATTGAAACTCTTAAGCACAACTGTATATGTTTATTTTAACCTTACAAATACATGTAAACTTGATTATTACCTTTTTGTTGCATATGTATTTGTCTGAATCATCTTGTAGATTATAGATAATATTTTAAGAAACAAAGCTGAAACATAAAGCAAAACTTCATACAGTTGCCACCTGAAACATTTGCATCTTTTGTATTTTATCTTCAAGGGCTTGGATACAGTATATTTTTCTTACTGTTGGCATTATTTACAAAGATACCACAACCTAGTCTAAAACTTATCTGACACTAAGGCTTTATGTCAACACCTTAGTTGATGAAAACCACAATAGACAATGGAGATCAATATTTATTCACTTATCTGGTGACAACCATAGCACAGAAAGATTGCAATATGAAATAAAGAGGAGTGAATGGTAAAGAGCATGGATTAATAAATGAAATGAACATAGAAAAATACTTATAGTGTGTGTCTGTGGAATTAAGAGAAACGGAAAGTATATAATCAATCTGAAGAAAGTGTTCTGATAATATAGAGTACAATTGTTGAATACATGCAGTGAAGCGAAGGTAAAGATTTGATTGAATGAAAGAACTAAAACATGTCAGAAAAATATGAACTGAGGTATAGGTTGGAAATACTGTAGAGCAGGGGTGTCAAACTGAATGGTGATAATAGAAGAAGTTCTGGGGGGGGGGCAGGAAAGAATATTCTGAGTAACTGTGATCCAGAAGGCGGGGGGGGAAACTAAGTGGCATGAAGAGAACAGGAATAGTGGGAATGATATAAAAGAGTATAGAAAGGGTGACTGGGGCAGTTGGAAACCTAGAAGCTTTGTATGGGAAAAAATGTTTACAATATTAGTGTGAAAGAAAATGGATGAAAAGGAAGTTATAAATAATGTGAGAATGTTGAAGAATGCTAAGGCTTCAAGTATAGATGGTGTAATGGAAAATATATTAAAATATGAAGATGGATTAATTTTGGTATGACTTATGATTTCTTTAAAATATATGCAATAATGCATCTCTGCTTATCAAATGGAACAATGCCATAATTATACCACTATGCAGAGGGAAAGCTAACAAGAATACATGCAAAATCTAGAGGATTAGCTTATTATGTATATCTAGGAAGCTTTAACCCAAAGATACTTTAGCAATTCACTATATATAATTTCTATATTATTCTTACTAAATAGGCCTAGAAAGCTTTGAATTTTCTAAAGCAAGGTTGTTGTACAATTGTTGTACAATTTATCCTAAAGCAAAGAGGACAAAAATGGACCCCAATTAAATGATCTGATCCATTCATTTGTGCATTCTTTGAATTGTAATAAAATGTTTTTGAACTAAATAGATCAATATATTGCTGAGTTTTTTTAACTTACCAAACTTTGGTGCTGATTTAGGGCTGTCACTTCTTATTTGTTGTGTGGTACTATTCGATATCATCTGCAAACCTACAGCTTCTGTAAAACTAGTTTTGAAAACCAAATCAGGAATTTAAAAGAAGAACTAGCAATCTAATAATGATATTTTATTAATCAGGATTGATAGTATTGCATAGAAGTCAAGAATATTTTTTAATACTAAAGATTAGAAACAAAAGATAAAATGTACAAGTAATTCTCAACTTATGATCACAGTTGAGCCTAATATTTCCAGGCCACTAGATGGCTATCAGTAGATGCAATAAGGGCAGGGAAATATTGAAGTTTCACTGTACTTACAATTTCAAGATAACCCTTAATATGGGCTTTGAAACATAAAAACCAGTCTTGTTCTTTGTCTTCCTCCAATGGAGCTCCAGATGTCTCATCTGGTGCTTCATCTCCCAGTGAAACTAGATGCACCCCGGGATCAACACCCAGGGAGTACACAATGGGAGTATAGGCAAATGCACAGTATAGTATAATACAGGAAGATTACACCGGGAAAGATTTCATAGGGATTGTACCGTCCAAGTCACTGCCACCACTATTCCAGGAAGTGACTAAGGCTTTAGTCAAACTGTCACCTCAGAGAAAATCCCCAAATCTTAAATTTTCTTTGGAATTCAACAGGATTCATAAATATAGGGACAAGGAAGATGACTTGGTGAAGATATGCAGTTACTATTGCCTACGCAAAAGGGGCTGAAACTTTTTTAAATTCCAAAATGAAACACGTAAATATACAGTCCCATTTACTTAATGGATTGAAAACCTGATTATATTTGTTACCTATGAGCAGATTGCCTACAGACATAGACTTTACACAGGTAAGTATAAAGTATAAAGAAATATGGGACTCATTTAAACATAATGAAGTGGGTTTGGCTGATACTTATATAAATCTGTTAGAAACACACACACATACAAACACAATTACCCACAGGATTTGATTTTCTGCATTCAGATGAATAAAAATCCAGTTTCCCTGCAAGCTTTCCTGCCTAATGAGAGAAGCAGAGTGGACAGAATAGATCTGCAATGCAGTATATCTCCTTATGCTTTCTCCATTCTTGGATTATTCAAATGCCTGAGCTGTGTTTATTTATAAATAATAATAACAACAACAACAACAACAATAATAATAATATCAATACCTGGGCAATTCCAGTCATTAGGTACACAGCTGGAATAGTGGACTGAACTCACGCAGAACTAAAAGCAATGGATAGGAAGACCAGAAAAATAATGACAATGAATCATGCCCTTCATCCACGCAGTGACATTGACAGACTTTATCTACCAAGGCAAATAGGTGGGCGTGGAATGCTACAAGTACATCAAATGGTTGAAAAAGAAAAAATGGCTTTGGAAGAATATCTGAAGAACAATGATGAAGATACACTGAAATTAGTATATCAGGAAGGCTTACTGACTACTGGAGAGACCAAACTGGCCTACAAGAAAGACCAAATGAAGAACAGAATAGAGGCATGGGAAGACAAAGCACTACATGGCCGATACATTAAAAAAAATAGCTGGGAAAGCAGATAATAACAAGACCTGGCAAAGGCTAAGAGCAGGAAAATTGAAGAAAGAGACCGAGGGACTAATTCTGGCTGCACAAGACCAAGCCTTAAGGACAAATGCGTGTAAAGTCAAAATTGAGAAGACAGCAACAGACAGTAAGTGCCGCCTATGCAAAGAAGCTGAAGAAACAGTGGACCACCTGGTAAGCTGTTGCAAGAAGATTGCACAGACTGACTACAAGCAGCGGCATGACAAAGTAGCAACAATGGTGCATTGGAAGATCTGCAAAAAAAAATATCATTTGCCTGTAAGCAAAAACTGGTGGGATCATAAAATAGAGAAAGTCATAGAAAATGATAAATTAAACTGCTCTGGGACTTCAGAATTCAAACAGACAAGCACCTGCAACATAACACCCCAGACTTAACAATTGTCGATAAGAAAGACAAAAAAGTCTGGATAGTGGATGTGGCAGTGCCTGGAGATAGCAGAATAGAAGAGAAAGAACTGGAGAAGATAACAAAATACAAAGACCTACAAATAGAAATAGAAAGACTGTGGCAAAAGCAAGCAAGGGTAGTACCAATAGTCATAGGCTCCTTGGGTGCAATCCCAAAACAACTGGAGCACCACTTGAACACCATTGGCATTGACAAATTCGCTATTAGTCAATTGCAAAAGATGGCCTTACTAGGAACTGCTTCCATCCTGCGACGATATCTGTAATACCATCAAACATCCACATCTGCCTATCCCAGGTCCTGGGTAAGGACTTGATAGGTAGACAAAATGCCAAATCCAGTCTGAACATCTGGCTGAGTGCGATGATCAATAATAATAATAATAATAATAATAATAATAATAATAATAATAATAATAATAAGTTGGAAGGGAACATGGAGGTCATCTAGTCCAACTCCCTGCTCAGGTAGGAAACCCTATACCATTTCAGACAAATGGCTGTCCAGTCTCTTAAAAACTTCCAGTGTTGGAGCATTCACCACTTCTGGAGGCAGGTTGTTCCACTGGTTAATTATTCTAACTGTCAGGAAGTTTCTCCTTAGTTCTAGGTTGCTTCTCTCCTTGGTTAGTTTCCGTCCATTGCTTCTTGTCCTGCCTTCAGGCGCCTTGGAAAATAGCTTGACTCCCTCTTCTTTGTGGCAGCCCCTGAGATACTGTAACACTGCTATCATGTCCCCCCCTTGTCCTTCTTTTCATTAAACTAGACATACCCAATTCCAGCCGCCTTTCCTTATATGCTTTAGCCTCCAGTCCCCTAATCATCTTTGTTGCTCTTCTCTGTACTCTTTCTAGAGCAGCAGTTCTCAACCTATGGGTTGCGACCCCATTTGGGGTCGATCGACCATTTCTCGGGGGTCGCCAAACAAGGCAATCCGCCATTTTTCCCCCTCGGGGGGTGGGGCCGCGCATGCACGCTGTGCATGTGCGTGCCGACGCGCATGTGCGCTGCGCATGTGGGCGCCGACGCGCATGTGCGCTGCGCATGGGGCGCCGACGCACATGTGCGCCATGGGGCGCCGACGCACATGCGTGCGGCGCCGCGGCGCGCATGGGGGCGCCGATGCGCATGCGCGGCACGTTTGTGTGATGGGGTGGCCGTCACACAAACGTTGAGAAGCACTGTTCTAGAGTCTCAACATCTTTTTTACATCGTGGTGACCAAAACTGGATGCAGTATTCCAAGTGTGGCCTTACCAAAGCATTGTAAAGTGGTATTAATACTTCACGTGATCTTGATTCTATCCCTCTGTTAATGCAGCCTAGCACTGTGTTGGCCTTTTTGGCAGCTGCAGCTGCAGCTGCAGCACACTGCTGGCTCATATTTAAGTGATTGTCTACTAGGACTTCGAGGTCCCTCTCACAGTTACTACTATTGAGCAAGGTACCCCCTATACTCTACCTGTACATTTGGTTTTTCTTGCCTAAATATAGAACCTTACTTTTTTCACCATAGAATTTCATTCTGTTAGATAGCACCCAGTGTTCAAGTCTGTCCAGATCCTCCTGTATCCTAAGCCTGTCTTCTGGAGCGTTGGCTATTCCTGCCAGCTTGGTGTCATCCGCAAATTTGATGAGTTCCTCATCTATCCCCTCGTCCAAATCGTTGATGAAGATGTTGAAGAGCACTGGGCCCAGAACAGAGCCCTGGGGCACCCCACTACACACTTCCCTCCATGTAGATGCGGTTCCATTGAGGACCACACGCTGAGTACTGCCGGTCAGCCAGCTACGGATCCATCTGGTGGTGATTCTGTCTACCCCACATTTTTCTATCTTATCAAGTAGTAGGTTGTGATCTACTTTATCAAATGCCTTATTGAAGTCCAAGTAAATTATATCCACAGCATTCCTCTGATCCACTAATTTTGTCACTTGGTCAAAGAATGCAATAAGATTTGTCTGCATTATCTGTTTTTGACAAACCCATGTTGACTTTTAGTAATGACTTTGTTTGCTTCTAGGTGTTCGCTGATTCGTTGTTTGATTATCTTTTCCAGAATCTTCCCAGGTATCGAGGTCAGGTTGATAGGTCTGTAATTTCCTGAGTCCATTTTTTTTTCCTTTTTTGAAGATGGGAACTACATCAGCTCTTTTCCAGTCCTCCAGTAGTTTCCCAGTGCTCCAGGATCTTTGAAAAATATAGTTCAATGGTTCTGAGATCACATCTGCCAGTTCCTTGAGGACTCTGGGGTGTAATCCATCTGGTCCTGGTGATTTGAACTCGTCTAGGCTGGACAGGTGCTCACTTACTGTTTTCTTGCCTATCTTAACTTGTGTTTCTATTCTGTTTTTTATGGCACTATTTTTGGTAGGTTGGTCCGTTTTTTCCCTTTGTGTAAAGACAGATGCAAAAAATGAGTTAAATAGTTCTGCTTTCTTCCGGTTGCTTGTCACCTTCTTGCCACTTTCCCCCACTAATGGACCAATCATTTCCTTCACTTTTTTCTTGTTTTTTACATGTTGAAAGAAGCTTTTTTTGTTATTTTTGACTTTGGTCGCAAGCCTTAGTTCATTTTGAGCCTTAGCTTTCCTAACTTCATCTTTGCGGGCTCGGGATATTTGTTGATATTCTGACTTAGTTATGTGCCCCTCTTTCCACTTTCTATACTTGTCCTTTTTATCTTTCAATTAATAAATAAAACCACTGCCTTGGTAACCCTAGCTTTTTTAATTTCAGAGCTCATGTATTCTCTTTTTAGTTGGACAAATGTTTTCTTTTAAATCCACAGAACATATTTCCAAAGCATTGTAGAATGTAATTATACAAAATATTTGATTATGCTATTAGGAAACAGTTATTAAAGCTGCATTTTGCTGTTCAAAGTCATTACTTTTTATATCCTTAAGGTGGCAGAAGACACTACATTATAAAATCAAAATAAATCTTCTAGCCTTAGAAAACTTGTGATTTCTCAAGGTACCAAAATGGATCCAGGGCAAGTTAGTCATCAATGTCTAATTTAAGTTCATATTACTTCAATGGTTGCACAGAAAACCTTTCACTTACTTCAACTCTTTATCATTTAAATTTGATACAAATTACAGTCAAATTTCAGTTTTCATCATATTTAGAAAGAATGTGATTAAGTAATGTGATTATGTAGTAGCATTATAAATAAAATTATTTTGGTTTGCTTTATTATATATAATACATAAACAAAAATCAGGTGAATCTAAACCCAGAAATGGCTTACTTTCTTCCTAATTATTTTCTTTGTGCTTAAACTTTGACCTCAAATTAATTAGACCAGCCCTTATTGTATTTATTTCATAGTTTTCAAGGAGCTGAACATAGATTTCAAAATTTCCATTCTGAATTTCACAAACTCAGACTAATTTAACTCAAATAAAACATGTTAGACAAACCTTTAGTTATAGATAATATAAATAGAGCATAATGATATACACTACTTAAAATTGACTATATAAAAGATAAATACTATTGATGACCAAATTCCTTTGGTATTAATATATTCTTCCAAGCAAAACTGCAAAGTAAATGAGAAGAGGACAACAAAATAAGATATGCTTTATAACACAGGAAATTATTTTTTACTGTGTCAGACTATATTGCTATCTATTTCAGTATTCTGCTTTAGAGTTGTAGTGTTTAATCTATCATATAGCTTTGGGTTATGCTGTTGTTTCTGAAAATTTCTGAATATAAAGTTTTAATTCTGTCATCAATATGTTCCTTTCCCAATTTTAGTAGACTAAAATTGAAGAATGTAAAATTGAATAATAGCAATAATAATTTTCATATTACCAAACTAATACAGTTTAAATCAATTACAAATTAATTTCTGAATTACAAAACACAAAAATCTATTATGTAGCTGCATAATAAATGAAATGAAAACATAAACTCTTCACTAGTATTATAGATCTTGATTTCTAGTGCCCTTTCTTCTTTCATAACAGTTAAAACATTTTAAAAAATAGATAATAAAGAAGACACAATTATTAATAGTTCTATATTTTTAAATCACTGTTGATGAGATTCAGTTCTGTCATAGTGACCAGCCTATACTCAGTAATCCCTATGGAAATTCTACACTATTTAAAATTTCCAACATTTTTTTTTTATTTCCTAGGTTTCTGTTATTTCTCTTTCTCTTTTCTGTCAGCCATTTCCATTGGCTTCCATATTAAACTAACAGTTTGAATCACTATTTAATTTCCTGAATAGTGAGCTCTTAATTGGCAGCTGATTTGTTTCCATGTCATTCCTTGTTACTAAGGAGTGTTGCTAGTGTTACTAATGACACTTCCATGCTTTACCCCCTCTTCTCCTGAGAACATCAGTCACCTGGCTAATATAAACTTCTTTCAGCTGATTGTTAGGAGTGCAAAAAGCAGCATTTGATCAATGCCCACTACAAATTATACAAGGTTCTGAAGTTTTAAAAAATCTCATATCCTTAGCTTACACAGATATTTGTCAACCCCCACTTCTGTTCATAAACTGAACAGCTCCTGCTGGGAGGAGAAATTGCTAAAAGCTGTCAACATAAGCCCTGCAGTAAGGATTTGGGGTGAAGCAAAAGGGAAAAATACCTGTTCACAATTTCTGCAGAGCATCAGCATTTCAATGGAAAGGTTATTTTAGTAAGATTTTTAGATATACTTCAGGTAAACCAGAAATAAATTGAAGCCTTGTTGATCATGTGTAGGTTCAGAATTAGATTCTGATTATAAGACTATAGAATTGCTTTAGTCTAATGCTTCAGAATATAGGTTGTTAACCAAAGGTTTTCATAATGTTATCTTTGTCATTTGCAATTTAAATCAAGGTTACTTTTAGTCAGATTGAATAACATTTAATAAATATATAAATATAGAACTAATATTTTATTTGTAATGTTTGCATATAATACATTTGTAAGCATGATTTACTTACTGTATATTTCCCCAGTCAGATCTGTTTCTTAAGATAAGAATAGGTGCTTTATTTTTGGATAAACTCATGATAACATCTTCAATAACATTTTCTATTGCTCTCAGTACCTCGGAGCTGAAAGATATTACAACATATAATTTAATACAGATTGTATATCATTTTCCAAGGTTCACAAAAAAAAATCATTATTGCCTTTTAACTATTTTTTGTTTGAGATTTCTGAAGATTCTAGAAACATTTTATAGTGCTTTGTCTTGCTTCCAATAGTAGAAATCAGTTCATATGTTTAAGATTCAGCCTTAAGAAGTGCATTTCTAGCCAGTCTTCACAAGATTTTTTTCACCAAGCCAAATATTTGGATCAACTGATTTAAAACAACTATGATTAATGTTTTTAAATCATATGATGTAATATTAGCTTTGGCCAGAGTTTGACTTAACTTGTTTTTAAATGCTGTAAACTTAAAATAAAAGTTCAAGGGTATAATATAAGTACTTCCTCTCTACCATAGCACATTAACCTTTTGATCTGACACTTTGAATGAGTGCCTGTGGTTTTTAATTATATGAAGGTTTTGGCTGAATAACAACATTGTGTGTGTGGCAGGGGGAGATGAAATGCATCATGAGCTGAAGTAAGTACATTAGTACTGCTCTGTCTTTGCATAAGTATGTGTGTGTGTGTGTGTGTGTGTGTGTGTGTGTGTGTGTGTGTATTTTGATGGAATATAACTACTATATATATTCCTTCAAAATATAGATATAAAATGGGGCAGAGTAGGAAAATTAACTAAAAATGCAGTTTTGTTCATAGACAATTCAAAGTAATTAGAATAGAATAGAATAGAATAGAATAGAATAGAATAGAATAGAATAGAATAGAATAGAATAGAATAGAATAGAATCCAAGTGTGATTGGATACATAAGGAATTTGTCTCTGGTGCATAAGCTTTCAGTGTATATACAAACAATAAAGTAATATAATTATAAGATACCAATAGTATCTCTGAACCGTCTATGAACAAAACTGCATTTTTAATTAATTTTCCTATTCTTCCCCATTTTATGTACCTACATTTTACTGGTTTATATTATAAAGTGTAATGTAGTTTAGTCATAACTTGTTTCTATGTACAAATCATATAAATTAGATCTATACTTTCAGATCTTCCTTTAGCCTAGTGACATTGTTTTGGTTTTCTTTTATTTATGCACTACACATATATATTATATCACAAGCCACTGTAAAAGACTTTCATACTATAGTTTCAGAAATAATCTTTCCCATGTGAATGAAAATGATTACGATATTTACTGCAGTTCACACACACAAAAATCTCAAGTCTCTTTTGTCATATAGAACTAGTTCAGGGGTAGGCAACCTTGGCTCTTTTATGACTCATGGACTTCAACTCCTAGAATTCCTGAGCCAGCCGTGCATTCTGGGAGTTGAAGTCCACAAGTCATAAAAGAGCCAAGGTTGCCTACCCCTGAACTAGTTGAATAGTTATTTGTTTCCTAACTAAAACTTTAACACTGGATTACATTAAGTTGAAATCCAAATATAGTACTTTCTTAGATGGGAACTCAATGATTTAATGAATGGCAAAAAAAAAGAGTCTCAAAATTTCATGTGTTTCTTCAATATCACTTTTAAGCGCTAGTTTAAATATGATTCTACATGTTTTGTTAAGAGGACTAATATTTGTCACTTTAAAAGATTATGGGATATCTTTCTCTTACTTATTGCTCATGTTTTAGACTGAAATGTTTCAGAATAAAATAAAATTGAGTTAATAGGAAATGGACAACCCTGGTATTATTGATTAGCCATTCTTTTTTACTTAGTTATTTCACTTCTTTCAATACTTAACAAGCGTAATAATTAGTATATTAAACTAATATATATTAGTATTATTGTTTTTTATACATCACATCATTTAACTACATAGATTTCTGTTTAATTTTTAGAAATGTGTAGGTAAGTAATTAGGCCCAGATGGTAGATCCAGGTTTGATATGCAGGCTTAAGATCTAAGGTTTTTGGAGCCAACAGAGTTTAAGAGCATTTTAAATGTGCGAAGAGAAAGATTTGAGTGACATATTCATTCAAAGAAATTGCACAAGTTCCTTCCTACATTTTAGCTCTCCCTGCTTAATAATGAAGTAACCCTCAGTAAAAAGTTACATGACTGGCCAAACATGCCAACTTAAAAGGAAAAAAAAACACCTCAGCAGTAATTACAGAAAAATCTAAACTGTTGAACAGCAAGGAACAACAGCAAATCACACAAGGAAAAATTCTGTCAGCTAATTTCCAACAAGTCACAGCATGAACACCGTTTCTTTTATTTTGGCAACAGAAATAGAAATACCCTTAAATATTATTTCACAACAGAAAATTTAAAAGATACAAAATTAATCTCATGTGTTTGTTTCAACAAATGAAGGTTAGGATTTATTATTATAAATTAAATTTAGAAATACTAAAATGTTCATGGCAATGGTAGTGGATGACAAATTCCTTAAATTAGAAAACAATAGCATTTCCAATTTCATTTAGGGAATGAAAACTTTCAAATGATTTGAGTTTGTGTGTGCAAAAAGGATAATTCAAAGCATTAGAACAGCTTATTAATATAGGATGAAAACTTAGCCAATCATTGTTCATTACAGATGTTACAGTGAATAATGCTAATGAAAGTAGCAAATGCAAGCTATATTTCAACTAGAAATCAATATTTCAATTGTCACATTTATTTTATTTATTAATTTTTTATGCTGCCTATCTCCCCAACAAGGTGAATCTGGGTAGCTTATTATTCATTTGTTGGTGACATCCAAAAGCAAAATTATTTGCTAGATATTGAAGATATATTTTAAAAAAAAATTAAAACAATGTCATTCTTCTTATTGTATATATTATATATGCAGGTTTTTTCATGAAATATATTTATATTAATAGCTAGTAGGTTTAATATTGTTATTTTTACATGATTCAATAAATATTTTATGAATGTGTTAATTTTAATTTTTAGGGTGGTAAATAATGATAAATATAACAAACAAAATAAATATAACAAACAGAATATATTTTGGGATCCTCCCTAATTTTTAAAAGTGGGAAGAGATACTGAGAGCAAAAAGTTTAAGAAACATTGTACAGGTAGTATTCGACTTATGACCACAACTGAGCCCAAATTTTATGTTAAGTGAGACATTTGTTAAGTTAGCTTTGCGCTATTTTACAAGCATTCTTGCTATAGTTGTTAAGTGAATGTTGCAGTTGTTAAGTTACTAACACGGTTGTTAAGTGAAACTGCTTTTCCCATTGACTTTGCTTGTCAGAAGATCACAAAAGGGGTTTGCATGATCCCAGGACACTGCAACTGTTATAAATAAGAACCAGTTGCCAAACATCCCAATTTTGATCATGTGACTATGGGGATGCTGCAATGGCCATAAGTGTGAAAAATGGTCTTATGTCACTTTTTTCAGTGCTGTTGTAACTTTGAATGGCCATTAAACAAATTGTTGTAAGTTGAGGACTACCTGAACTAAGGTTTGGAAATAGATAAAAAGCAGGGAAAGTTTAAAAGTTTAAAATTATGATCTCTGTTTGGGAGAAGACTTGATAGGTTTTAATTTAGTGATTTAATATTTGGGAGTACTTATTATAATTTTTAATAAACGTATAAAGATAATTACGATATATTATGATATATTAAAAGTGTATAAGAAGCTGATAGGTTTTGATTTAGGAGAAAAGGTTAAATTTATGATTAATAAATTTACTTGGGTCTGGGGGGGGGAAGAGTTAAGAGCCAAGTTTATATTGTTTAAAAGAAATATACATCTCGGTGTGGAGAAGGTGGATAAATTATATGAAGAATAAATATGGGATTTAATGGATAAATTATGATTAGAGTAGATATGATTAAAAGTATCGTTTTGATTATGAATAATTTTTGGTTTAAATTTGGAATTGTTTAATTTGCTTTGTATTTGATTTTTATAGTTGATTATGAATAAATTTTGGTTTAAATTTTTTAATTTGTTTGAATTTGTTGTGTAAATTTGTTTCGTATCTGAGTTAAAGTAAGTTATTGATTTTGTTATTTGTATAGTTGGATAGGTTTAGTTAGATTCAGTTTGTATTAGTTAAAGTTAAGTAGATTTTGTTTAATATGTTTGAAAACCCTGTGCCAAGCTCTGGGAAGTGGGGTTGGGGGTTGGGGATGGGTGGGTGTTCTGGGGAGTGGGGGGGAGGGGGGTTGGGGGTGGGTAAAAATACAATAAATTTTAAAAAAAGCAGGGAAAGCTTGCATATACATGGAGCTTTTCTCCATTCTATGCCTTCAGACTTTACTAGATATTTATAAATGAGACTGAGAATTTGCAAGGCAGCTTCCCATTTTCAAAATAGAAGTAATAATAAAGCAGCTAATACAATATAGAAACATAGAAAACTGATGACAGAAAAAGACCCAGCAGTCCATTGAGTCTCCTTTTGAGGGTTTTTTTTTTGTTTTCTTATTTTTATTTTTAATTTTAATTTTTTAAATGATTGACTTGTGTTTATCCCTGACTGACCCATTATCTCAGCTGAAAGTTGCTTCCAGGATTTCATAGAATAAGAGACACAGATTTTAATAAAAACAGATTTGAACTGATTTAAATATCAGCCATTTTTTAAAGTCAGCATACTTTTTAGGGAAAGTTGTTAAACTAACATTTTACACTTCCTGAACAAGAGAAAAATGTTAACTGCCTAAAACCTGAGCTTTTTAGACCTAAGGCGTTTCAATTAAAAGCTTTAGGAGCAGCGTAATAAACATTGCTTTTAATGTTCCCAATCATGGATGTTCTTGTTTGCTACAAAAGTGTGAAAAATATTTCGGTGTGGCTAAATATAGTTAGCTGATGCATTTTCACTAGACTAAACTTATTAAATTCTCTTACTTCAGAACAAGTACAGGTAATCCTTGTTTAGTCACTGTTCATAGTTAAGATCGTGATGAAAAAATAACTATATGATGAATTCTTGCGTTTACAACATTCATAGCTCTGTAAAGCAAAGGAAAATTGATGTAAGATGAAGTGCAGTTGTGGTTACACTTAGCAACCACTTAATTAGCAACCAGGTTCCGAGTCCCAATTGTGGTCAGTAAACGAGAACTATCTATGTTCCTGCTATTATGTGGTAAGAGAAGTGAAAATTGGGTTCCTGCACTACCTTTTTGAAGTAGCCTCTAAAGGATTTTAACCCCTTCTGACATGGTCTGTTACCTGGAGTGACAGACATTTGTGGGTTATTTTCAAAGGCAGCCCATGGGAAGTTACCAGCACTTGGCCAGTTTAACCATCTTTTGGCATACAGATCATCTCTGTCCTGGTTTTTAACATAACAGACTCAAATTATAATCTGGGTTGTGTTAGGGTGACATTACCTAGAGATTTCACAACTGAGACTGGCCACATGGAGTTTTGCTGAAGTTTTCCTGAGGGCCAATGCATGTTGATCCAATAAAGTGAACAAAGACCAGTCTGTTTCTGTCGAATAAGCCATAAGGAAAAAATAAAGATTAAAAACAAAAATAGGAGAGAATAATCTGTTACACTCAACCCAGACTGAAAGTCTGGCTTTATCCTGCCCCTAATTTTCTGTCACTTTTTGGCAGTGCCGGCCAGGCAGCCAATCAAATCATGGTAAAGGTGGGCCTAGTCTGCTTGCTGGGCTGCAGTATGGACACACCTGTTTGTATTCTGAGGGCTGATGAAAAAAATTGGTTACCATTAACTTTTTAAAAAAGTGTTACTAGTGTGTATATATTACCTGGGTGTAGTCAGCAGGGCCTGGATTAACTGTGGCCACTGTAGATTGACTTTGGGAGTTCCTGCTCTTTGTAGGGACTGAATTGGTTAGTATTTGCAAGGTCCGGGTCTCTATTATCGCATACTTTCCAGAACATATGGACATTCTTTTGCTTTTGTAAAGATTTGATCTGTTTAGTCTTTCCTTCTGAGGTAATGAAAGCCATAAGGCTTGAGGTTTCTTCTTTCAGAAGTTGAAGAGACAGTTGCAGCTCTGATTTTTCCCTCAGCTTGCTTCAGAAAGATTAGTACAATGTTTCTCAACATTGGCTCCTTTAAGATGGGTGGGCCTCAAGTCACAGAATTCCCCATGCCAGCCTGGGGAATTCTGGGGGCTACACATCTTAAAAGTTACTGAGTTTTGAGAAACATTAGCTTAGAACTATAGCAAGATGAAGTGGAAATTCCACACAAGTCTCTGAAATATGAGCTATAAATGTCTATTTGAATAGGAGATTATCCTATCAACTGTACTTTTTATTTGACATAGGCTTATTTATTTGGTTGTTTTTTTTTTAAATTTGCCTTATGGACCTAAGCTACATGAACCTTCAGATTTAGCCACACTTGTACCCTGCCACAGAATCATCTCTATTGTGGATGAGCTATAATAATTTAAATAAATATATTAAGAAAAAAGATGTTCTCCACCCTTGCCATTCTAACTACTCTGTTGGTTTCTGTCATAAAAGAAAAGAAAAAGTTCAGTTAATAAACAGATCAAATAAATGAATACTTTTACATTTAACACACTTTCCTCTTTAGATATAATCAATTCTGACAGGAAGTATTTATAAAAGCTCCTATAATCCTTTTTAAGAACTCATTCTCTCTCTCCCTCACTTTCTACATATACAGGTTTCCTTGATATACAAACTGATAAATATTTGTCAAATAACTTTGACAAATTAAATTGCACAGCATAAGGAGACTTTTGAAGATTTCTGTTGCATCAAGTATCAATGTTAGTTACTATGACTCCAATGTGGAATATCATTTCCTGCTTTCTTGTTTTGAATATGTATTTAAATTATGGTTCTAGCTAAACCTGAATATATAAAGATCAAATGATAGAAAAATCTAAGTAAAATGATTGCTATTACTCAGATTATAGAAGTCAGATTAAAGATAATTAAATATATGCTGCATTCATTTATACAGGTAGTCCTCGATTTACAACCATTTGTTTAGTGACCGTTTGAAGTTACAACAGTACCGAAAAAGTGACTTATGACCGGTGCTCACACTTACGACCATCCAACATCCTCACAGTCATGTGGTCAAAATTGGGCAGTTGACAACTGGCATGAATTTACAATGGTTGAAGCATGCTGGGGTCATGTGATCATCATTTGTGACCTTCCCAGCTGATTTCCAAAAAGCAAAGTCCATGGGGAACCTGGGTTGCCTAATGGCCAGGTGATTCACTTAACTGCAGTGATTCATTTAACAACCATAGCAAAAAATGTTTATAAAATCAAGTGTGAATTTACTGAATTTATATCTCCATTCATTTATTAGGTAGCTATTGTCCCTTTGATAGTATCAAAAATGTTCTACAACAAAATTATAGCATGTTGGTAATATATAGCTAGGAGGCGCTTCTGGAAAATGAGATCTGTAAAGAAAATCCAATTGATACCTATGAAATAATCTTCAAGGCTATGAGAAAAGTCCTCCATTGCAGTAGCATGATTTGATTGAACAAGTTAGTTGAGTATGGGAACTAAACCTATCACCTGCTGTTTACGTGGACAGATGCTGATCTTTTTTAATGAACAAAGCCTCTGGTATAGAGATGAAAAGTCATTCATAGCAAAGAGCATAAAACAGGCATATCCTTTCTGATTTGACAAGTCTTGCTTAAAGAAGAAAATCCAATATATTTTAAGCTTACCCAACATTTGAATGAGAACCACCTGCAAGTAATTTAGTAATGGTAGCCAAGCCAGTATGATAGATTGACTTTATTTCCAGACTATTGTTCTTTATTTTGTATCTTTAAACCACTTACAAATATGACAGGTCCTTTCTGTAATAAGAAGGAGCTTTATGCTTATCTCAAAAATGCAAGATGCTTCCACTACTATGTAGCATGAAAATATATCAAGGAGATACGGTAATGTTAAAGAAACTATAGTAAAATATATATCTTCACAGCAGTTTGCAATGTTTTGTGTGAAATAATACATGTTACCCACTTTTTTGAAATTTAAAGAACAGTGCTTTGCTTTTCATTGTTCTTCCTTTTAGAATCATGAGAATAAACACTAGAGTTGCCAAAGACTCAAGCCAAGCCACACATGCAATGCACAAAGCATATTTTTTAACCTTTTCAAAATTTTAATATTTGATGACTGAAAGCTGAAAGTGTGAAATTACTCAATCTAAAATAATCAGCTTAAATGCAGTAGACTACAGGTAGTTCTCGACTTATGACCGCAATTGAGTCCAACATTTATGTTACTAAGTGAGAAATTGGTTGAGTTTTGCTCATTTTATGATTTTTCTCGCATTTGTTAAGTGAATCACTGCATTTCTTAAATTAGTAACATAGTCATTAAATGAATCTGGTTTCCCCGTTGACTTTGCTGGTCAGCAAGATGCAAAAGGGGGTCACATGACTTCAGGACACTGCAACTGTCATAAATGTCAGTCAGTTGTCAAGCTTCCGAAGGTAACTCACATGACCATGGGGATGCTACAACGGTCATAAGTGTGAAAATGGTCAAAAGTCACTTTTTTCAGTGCTGTTGTAACTTTGAACGCTCGTTAAATGAATGGTTGTAAGTCGAGGACTACCTACAGTGAGGGAAAAAAGAATTTGACCTGCTGATTTTGTACATTTGCCCACTGACAAAGAAATGATCAGTCTATAATTGCAATGGTAGGTTTATTTTAACAGTGAGAGACAGAATAACAACAAAAAAATCCAGAAAAACGCAATTCAAAAAAGTTATAAATTGATTTGCATTTTAATTAATTTTGCCTCAGTTTACGACCTTTCTTGCCACGATGAATCAGTGCACTTGCTAAGTTAGTAACACAGTTGTTAAGTGAATCTGGCTTCCCCATTGACTTTGCTTGTCAGAAGATCGCAAAAGGTGATCACAGTCACCCCAGGATGCTTCAACGGTCATAAATATGAATCAGTTGCTGAGCATCTGAATTTTGATCACATCACCATGGGGATACTGCAATGGTGGTAAATGTGAAAAATGGTCACATTTTTGTAATTTTGAACGGTCACAAAATGAACTGTTGCAAGTCGAAGACTACCTGTAGATCCTTAACACTGTGAAGATTACAGTGGCAGACTTTTTTCCCCACAGAAAAGTCCACTTAATTTTTTTTTTATCAAAGGATTCTGAAGTGAAATGAAAATTTTACCTGTGATGGTTTAATGATGCATTCTGATCAATAAGCAACTGCAGGTAGTCCTCGACCTATGACCACAATTGAGCCTAAAATTTCTGTTGCTAAGTATAACATTTGTTAAGTGAGTTTTGCCCCATTTTAAAACCTTTCTTGCCACAGTTGTTAAGTGAATCACTTGGTTGTTAAGTTAGTAACATGGTTTTAAGTCAATCTTTCTTTCCCATTGACACTGCTTGTCAGAAGGTTAAAAAAGTTGATCACATGATCCTGGGACACTGCAACTGTCATAAATATGAGTCAGTTGCCAAGCATCTGAATTTTGATCATGTGACCATGGGGATGCTGCAACGGTCATAAGTATGAAAAACACTCATAAATCAGTTTTTTTCAATGCCATTGTAACTTTGAATGGGCACTAAATGAACTGTTGTAAGTCAAGAGCTATCTGTATGCAGGTTGTTCAAATCATTCTGATATTCTTCATTATTTTCAAGTGTATTCATTTATTGATTGGCTTTTTCCCCCCTCAAAAGGAAAAACTTGAGCTTTTAAACTTCCATTGGATAATCCTGTCAGTAATGTACAATTGCATTTTATGCCACTGTGGAAGAAACAATAGGACATATTATATCTGTAGATGTTGCAACAAAAGTTATTTTTGAGAATTGATCTGAAATTACTTTTCTGGCAGCATCCTAATAATATAGTTAAGAATTTTATACTTATATTTTGCTAAGCTGTAGCAAGCTAACCAAACCTTAAGGAAATGGAGTTTGAAAAATGTGTGTAAAACTGAAACCTATTAGTAAACAGATTAAAAGGCCAATAATTTTGTTCTTGCATTCTGAACCATAGAGTTTGAACAACAAAAACAGTCATAAGACACTTTTTTCTGTGCCCTTATAACTTTGAATGGTCACTAAATGAACTGCTGTAAGTCAAGGACTACTTGTACTGCAACTTCTGTGTTTGAGGAGGTCTGCTCACTTTATAAAGCTAGAAATATCAGGAGAAAAAGAACAGTAAATTAAATGCAAGGGGAATGTGTTATACACGGTAAGATAAAAAAAGATGTATGTTGAAATGTGAATTGTATACAAAAGTGAATGACCAGTAGAAAAGAAGTAAATTGAAACAGTTTGGTCGAAGAAAGAGAATAAACGAAGATTCAATTGCATAGCAGTTATACGAAATAAAATCTGGCTGGGAGGACTGGATGAAGTAATCTCAAAGCAAAAGAAATGAGATATTCAAAGGAGAAAAGACAATGCATGAAGCTATGTATGGATGTGGTGGAGGCAAGCATGATTTGCAAGG